GGTATACAAATTCTGTTATATAAAAATACATAAAATAATATTTCCAAGCTGCTTTTCAACAACTTTCCCAAACTGGAAACAAATACGTAAATCCCATTTGAAAGTGAGCATTAACATATAGCAGTTCAAATCACAAGCCAATTAAAAAATGCCCTGTACCATAAAAATTAAGAGCACCAGGAACCCCCCCAGCTGCATGTACAATAAAATCTTTGATTGAACGCCATAGAAAAAAATATTCATCCATAGCAACCAATGTGCCTAGGCACTTTTATTTTTTCCTCTGCAAACATGGGAGCTAGAAACTTTAAAGGCAGGGAGAAAAGGATATCTCAGAGTTACGATAATCTGCATTGGATACCATTTGTAATTTCTTTGAGATCCTCTTAGGTGGATTAGAAATTTTGGCAAACTAAACTTCTGCAGGGAAACATTCTGTGCCTGATATGGACAATGAGCTTGTACTCTCTCCTTCCACCCCATGGCATAGAACATTTTAAGAACTATATAGGCGTTGCCTGTGAGAACATGCTGGGAAACTGCAGACCAAGCTGTATTGCCAAGCTTCTTTAATTTCTGACGCCTGTAATCCAGTTTCTTTTCTAACTTTTTTCCTTTTTCCTTTTTACTACCACTAAATATAATTAAGAAATAAAAATTACATACATCGATATTTAGCTTGTTATTTGTTATTTACTGTCTTATTTCCTCCCAAACATTGCATACAACAACACACATATGTGCAGACACCCACACACCCACACCCGCACACAAAATGATAATAGTGAAAGTAAATATTTTCCCCCTTTTATCTTCCAAAATCTTTTCTTCAACATTGACTTCTTGTCAAGTCCCTTTGCATACATTTTATCTTACATTTGAATGTACACAAAACAATAAACCTTTCTATATAATTTTTCTAATACATTCTGAAAACATAATAAATCCTTAATTGTTACCCACCTCCTTTTAGTTCCATTATCACTCTAATGCTAGCACGGAGTCAAAAATATTAGTGTATTTTTGAACATATCTTCTATAACCATCCCATTTTTCCGCAAATTTTTGCTTTGAGTTTCCTCTGAGTTTACTAGTCAATTGAGCCGTCTCCACCAATTCCTGTAATTTGATTTGCCAATCTGTTATTTTTGGAGCCTTGTGATCTTTCCATCCCTTGGCCACAAGTATACGAGCCGCTGCAGTTGCATACAAGAATAACTCTCTTAGATTTTTGTTATCTCTTTATCTATAATACTTAATAGAAATGCCTCTGGTTTTTTAGTAAAAGTTATCCCCGTCATCTTTTTTAATTCATCGTATATTTCCCCCCAAAAAGTCTTAATCTTTTCACACGTCCACCACATGTAGATCATGTCTTTTCTATCTTTTTTCTTATGAGCACTTCCAAGTTTTATTTCCAGGTTTGGAGGTTCCGAATCTTTGCTTTCGGAAGCGGCACTGATGCATTAGCACAACTTTTCCCAAAGTGCGGTACATGTGCCCCTGCCCCCAGGGTTCTTAAATTGCATCAGCCTCTTTCATTCATTTTAAAACTTCCTCTGGGTTGTTCTATACTTCCAGTAGTTCATCGCCTTGAATTTTGCCTCCAGGTTTCGTTGACTGCAAAGAATGTGTGTCAGGTCACTGACCTTTCCACACTGCTGGGTGGATTAGCTTCTAAGTCTTGTACGTCCTGTAGATCTTGAGCCTCGTCTCAACTCCAATAAGGCCTGTAGCTGGAGGGATGACTTTTGTAGCTGGAGGGATGTGCTGGTAGCATAAAGGTAAAGGTAAAGGGACCCCTGACCATTAGGTCCAGTTGTGGCTGACTCTGGGGTTGCAGCAGTGGCGTAGCGTGGGTTGTCAGCACCCGGGGCAAGGCAAGTAATTTGCGCCCCCTAACCCGTGGATTTGCGCCCCCTAACCCGTGGATTTGCCCTAACCCCAGATGTTGCGCCCGGTGCGGCCGGCCCCCCCTGCACCCCCCATGCTACGCCACTGGGTTGCAGCGCTCATCTCGCTTTATTGGCCGAGGGAGCCAGCGTACAGCTTTCGGGTCATGTGGCCAGCATGACTAAGCCGCTTCTGGCAAACCAGAGCAGCGCACAGAAACGCCGTTTACCTTCCCGCCAGAGTGGTACCTATTTATCTACTTGCACTTTGACGTGCTTTCGAACTGCTAGGTAGGCAGGAGCTGGGACCGAGCAACGGGAGCTCACCCCATCGCGGGGATTCAAACAGCTGACCTTCTGATCGGCAAGTCTTGCTGGTGGCATAAATCTCTGCAAAATTCTCCCAACTTCATATCATAGCTGTCAACTTTCAGATTTGAAAATAAGGGATCAGCAGCCTCACCTGTCCCGGGGACAGTCTACGGGATATCTAACAATCCGGGATAGCAGTGGGAAGCAGCAGGAAATGTCGCTGGAATAAGGGAATTTCCCGCAAAAAAGGGGAAGATTTACAGCAATGCTTCATATCCCTTTTTCCTCTTTGCACAAGCCTTCCATGCTGGGCTGTTCCCAATGATACAGCTGGCAGTAGCTGGGCTACTTATGACCCAGTTCTAGCTGCAATAATCTAATTAGCTTCATTAAGAAGAGAAGATCCTCCAGCATAATTTGGTGTTTCTCGGGGTCTCTTTTTGCACCTCGGAGTTGTGCAGACCTCTGGAAGCTGGCTGGCGTCTCTCCAAGTGCTGGATCGATTGTGTATGTTGCAACAGGTTCCTTTCCTGCTGGAGTGTGCAGGTTAATTATTTTATTTGTCTGCAATCTCTTTATTCTGCCCTATATAAATGAACGGCATTCATGCTAGAGCTAGAAGGGGACCAGGTGCGCGTGTGTGTCATGGTAGTAGCAAAGCATAATGCTGTGCTCAAAAAGATGTACCCCAGAGGTTCTGATCATGTGCGATTCTTGCAAATGTTGAATTGTGTGGCAATAAGGCTGAATCAGAGAGATCTACCTGGCAGAAGAGGCATCTGACGCAGAAAAGCATTGTTTGCCTTGGAGAGAGGTGGGACTTTGCACAATGGGCACGACCAAATCTTGTAATTAAGAGCATTTGGCAAGTCAGTTTTGATGGCTCCATCACGGCTTTCTTGGTGGCAGCTCCCAGACTTTGGAACTCCCTCCCTGGAGAAGCGTGACTGGCTCCCTCCTTGCTGTGAAGACCTCCTTGTTCTACAGACTGCTCTTAATTAATGGGCTGATGTCATGCTGTTTTTAGTTCTGATCTCCTGAGCGGTGAGAGATTCTAGGGGTTCCAGGCACAATTTCCTAGGGTCCATGGTCCATGGTTTATTCACACATACCGTACTTTTCCATCTATAAGATGCCCCCGTGTATAAGACTCAAATTTAAGAAAATGGGGAGGGGGAGATGACACAGAGTTGTTGAGCTTTTTTGGGGAGGGATTACCCAGGGTTCTTGAGCTTTTTTTAGGGGGGGGTTGCTGAAAATCGCTCACCCGCACGTGTCACAAGATGACTCCTATGTCCCACCGCCGGCAGAAGCTGCCAATCACCTGCCCAACTGCAGGAGCATCAGCCAATCAACACCACCCATTAACGCAGCAACCAATAACACACACAATAGCCGCTGACAACCACAGCAACAACCAATCGAATGTCCACCCTAAGTGTGTAAGACGACCCCCACTTTTATTTTATGAATGGGGAGGAGGAAATCTTACACACGGAAAAGTCAGTATATACAACCTGAGCCTACAATGCAGGGGTTCCCAGCGTTACACTCAGAGAAGGTCTTCCCAGTTCCATAGGCACAGTCCTGGATCCAAACAGACATCAGACATCAGCCAATTCATTGTGTTGTCCTAATACAGGGATAGTCAACTTTTTTATACCTACCGCCTACTAATGCATCTTTCTCGATGGTTAAAATTTCCTGACCGCTCACCAGTGCTCGATGGAAGGAGGATTCAGCTTGTGTTGTAGAACCCCCTACCGCCCACCTAGAATCCTGAAATGCCCACTAGTGGGCGGTAGGGACCAGGTTGACAACCCCTGCCCTAATAGCACATCCCTCGGCTATTGCCTAACACAGGTCAGCCTGCCTTAATTCGCACCTGACACTTGGCTTAATTAAAGCATCATCAATGTCTAGCACACACTGGGTCTGTTTACCCAGTTTTAACAGTCCAAACATTGATTACTGTATTTTTTGCTCTATAAGACTCACTTTTTCCCTCCTAAAAAGTAAGGGGAAATGTGTGTGCGTCTTATGGAGCGAATGCAGGCTGCGCAGCTATCACAGAAGCCAGAACAGCAAGAGGGATTGCCGCTTTCACTGCGCAGCGATCCCTCTTGCTGTTCTAGCTTCTGAGATTCAGAATATTTTTGTTTTTATTTTCCTCCTCCCAAAACTAGGTGCGTCTTGTGGTCTGGTGCGTCTTATAGCGCAAAAAATACAGTAAATTCTAACACTACTGGTTTCGGGAACTTGGGGTGTCTGGCACCCACAAACTCACAAAATTATTGTAATTATTTGTGTGTCTTAAACTGATTTTATATATGTATATACGGTAGTTTTAATTCTAATAATGTTTAATAGTTGTTGTTTTCTATGTTTTTCGTGATTCTTGTTTTTACCTGTTAGCCGCCTTGACTCATGTTAGGGGGAAAGGCGGGGTATAAACAAACAAACAAACAAACAAAAATACCCCCCTCGTGGAACTACAATTCCCAGAGTTTGCTGGGAAGAGGGGTTGATTGTTAAGCCACTCTGGGAACTGCAGCTTTCAGCACCCTTAACAAACTATAATTCCTAGGATTCGGGGAAAGCCAATGGTTGTTTAAAGTGATACGATACTGCTTAAAATGTATAGTAGAGATAGCTATTTTATTTGGAAATAAGTCCCACAGTATTCAACAGGACTTACATTCTGGGGGGTTATAGAAAAGTGTGAGAGCAAAACTCTGTAACGGGATCCTAAATCTTTACACCCACACCCTCTGTGTTTTTCATTTTTCTCCTCAGTTCCGTGAGAACATCCAGGATATCTTTCCTCTGCTGCCTACCACAGAGGACTACTATCTCTTGAAATGGCTCCGAGGTAAGAAGGCCTGTGGGTTGTTTGCTTTGTGCCAGGAAACACTTGATGTAGTGGTTAGCTCAATAACATCTGCACCAACTGGCTATGACTCTCTAGGATTCCAGGTGTCCCTTTGGCCTAAACCACTGAGCCTCTTGGACTTGCCAATCAGAAGGTCAGTGGTTCTAATCCCTGCGACGGGGTGAGCTCTTGTTCCTCTGTCCCTGCTCCTGCCAACCTAGCAGTTCGAAAGCACACCAGTGCAAGTAGATAAATAGGTACCACTGTGGCAGGAAGGTAAACGACGTTTCCGTGCGCTCTGGTTTCCGTCACGGTGTTTCGTTGCACCAGAAGCGGTTTAGTCATGCTGGCCGCATGACCTGGAAAGCTGCCTGTGGACAAACGCTGGCTCTCTCGGCCTGAAAGCGAGATGAGCGCCGCAACCCAATAGTCACCTTTGACTGGACTTAACCATCCAGGGGTCCTTTCTCTCCCAGCCCTACCTGGAGATGCTGGGGATTGAACCTGGGATCTTCTGCATGAGCTACAGTCCCTTTTCTCTGGTTCTTTGGTGGTTTTTGTAGACTTGCCTGCAAGTGCTCCCAAGTGTAAATATATCGGCTGCGGCCTGGAAGCTGGTATGGAGAATCAGACAGGCCATTGCAGGAACAAGAGGAGTGTGTGTGTGTGTGTGTGTGTTTGCGTGTGCGCGCTTATCTTCTCTAACTGGGATGAACGGAGAGAGTCGTGTGCTTTTTATCACCCAAGATTCCTTTGCTTGCACTTTCTCTGTTTGGTAAAGTCCAAAAACCAAAACGTACCAGGCACGGGCTTTGCATTAAACACAGCGGGTCCACAAAGAGGCAGATCTTGTTCAGAACTCCAAGGCCGGGCCCAGGTGACTGAGTGCTCAATCCAGATAACATTTTTATTAACGTGTGCAGCTTGCCATGGTCACGCAAACTCGGTACAGATTCCCCTGTTCTTTTTTAAACGGAGACACCAACCTAATATGCTCCAGGTCTGATATGAGTGTTTCTCAACCTCTTCCAGCCCATACCCCCTTTTAACTAACATAAAAATCCCACACTCCTCCTTTAAGCCTGGCTCCTCTAATTATTTTATTTAACATTTCAATGGATTGAAGTTTTGTGACTTTTATTTATTTTTTACTTATATCTGCCTATATACATAAAAACGTAAGGCTGTTGCCACGATGCAGTTTGTGCGGCTGCCAAGTCCCACAAGAGGAATGGCAGGCTGGCAAGCGAGTGAACGGGGTGGAGCAGGGGCGCTTCACACAGTGGTTAACCAAGGCACTGTGAAGGGGCTCCCCGGTCATTTAAAAGGGGAAAGGGCCTTGGATCGAGCTGGGGGGGGGATAGATGAGGGGGTGGGTGAGGTGTAAATTGAGTGGAGGGAGTCTAGCAAAGCAGCAGGTGGGTTAGTGAGCGGAGTGAACAGGGGCAGCAGTCCCTAGTGGTACAATTTTTTTTTAAAAATACCCCACCCTGAGATCTTCCTACACAATCCTGGATAAGAAGCACAATGCCAGATGCTTTAGACTACAGCTCCCATCATCCCAGGCCATTTGTTCTTCTCACTGGGGCTGATGGGAGCAGATAGTGGGGGGTTTTGTTAACCTGATTGGGAATGTTTCCACTTGCTTCAGGAAATTTCCTGTCGCTCTAGAGCAAGGCTAGTCAATGCGGTGAACGCCGGACGTTGGACTACAGCTCCCAGCAGCCCTAGCCAGCCTGGCAAAGTGGGCAGAGGCAATGGGAGTCATAGTCCAAAACATCTGGAGGGCGCCAGGTTGGGGAATGGGTGGAACATATTTTTATTAGGCAACTCATAATCAAAATAAACTGGATAATTTTTAAAATCTCTCTTTCCTTCCCCATGATGGCTCACCACATGTGCTGTCTCTGTTTTATTACATTTATATGCCAGCTTTGCTCCAAGTAGCTCGAAGTGGCACACATGGTTCCCCTCCTCCCCACTTTATCCTCACAACAAACCTGTGGGCTGACCTGCGTGGCAGGGAAGAGCTTTACAGTAAGTGCAATTACACCCACAATCAGAGTTTCTCCTTCAAGTCCGCCAGACTCTTATTTCAACCAGTTCTGCCGCTTGAGACTCTGCCCTGGAGTTTCTGCCTGTTAGGAAGATAAGGCTCTCCAGTGAGAGATTAAAAATTATCAGGCTGTTATCGCAGCCTTATCTTCCCTTCCCTGACCCCTGATATTCTCTGAAGTCCTGTTAGCCCTGTGCTGCAATGGAGAGATGTTGCAACACAAGGGGCCGGTCCTACCATTAGGCGTCGGTAGCCATTCCCCATCTTTCTCAGCTGATAGCCTTGTGAACATACCACTGAGCTGTGCCCCTTCCTCAAATGGTGATGCTAATAACGTATATATTAGAGTATTGTTAGGAGTGTACGGAGCTGCCTTATGCCAAGTCAAACCAAAGGTCCACCTAGCTCAGTATTGTCTACACAGGCTGGCAGCAGCTCTCTGGGGTTTCAAGGCAGGGGTCTCAGCCCTAAGTGGAGATGCCAGGGATTGAACCTGGGACCAAGGCAGATGCACTACTGCTGAGCTATGATCCTTCCCACTAAATCACTAACAAGGGACCCAATTCACTCCCCGAGAGTGAAAATGTGTGTTTAAGGTCCTCAGGTGAGCCCTGCTGGATCAGGCCAAAGACCCATCTGGTCCAGCATCCTGTTCCCACAATGGCCAATTCGTAGTCTCATTGTTGAGCAACAGCCTGTAGAGCTTAATGCAGTGGGAGAGCAGCCAACTAGAAGGTGTCTCTGAGATGTCCTCATCCAAAGTCAGGTCCGGTCCTAGGGTCAGCCAAACAGCAATCCATGTGGTCAGGGAATCCGATGATCAGGTGGGGTCAAGGGTCAAGATGAGCAGAAAACAGCAAGGTAGGGTGGGACGCCGGTGGCGCTGTGGGTTAAACCACAGAGCCTAGGACTTGTCGAGCAGAAGGTCGGCGGTTTGAATCCCCGTGAAGGGGTGAGCTCCTGTTGCTCAGTCCCTGCTCCTGCCAACCTAGCAGTTTGAAAGCACGTCAAAGTGCAAGTAGATAAATAGGTATCACTCTGGCGGGAAGGTAAATGGCGTTTCCGTGCGCTGCTCTGGTTCGCCAGAAGGGGCTTAGTCATGCTGGCCACATGACCCGGAAGCTGTGCACTAGCTCCCTCGGCCAATAAAGCGAGATGAGCGCCGCAACCCCAGAGTCGGTCATGACTGAACCTAATGGTCAGGGGTCCCTTTACCTTTACCTAGGGCCAGGAACTACAAGCATTGTTTACAGCCTCTGACTGCTGCTGGAAACTCTGCTTAAGGTGGCTGAAGCCAGCTGGTTCCCATCAGCACCTTCTCCTCTGTGTCCTTGAAAGCTGATCAGCTGCGGGTGGGGTCACTCTGCCTTCTCCCCCTTCAGGCTGCTGTTCAGCAGGCGAAGCAGACTCCTGGCCCATGTCATTCTGAGGCATTTCCTTCCTCCAACAGTGGAGGCAGAACGTGGCCTCCAAGATTGGTCCTCATTCATGAATTGGCCTGAATCCCCTTTAAAGCCATCCAAGTTGGCCACCACTACTTCTTGCGGGAACAAATTCCAGAGGTTAGCTCCTGGATCAGTCTCGGTCCAGTATACCTGAAGGAGCATCTCCACCTCCATCGTTCTGCCTGGACACTGAGGTCCAGCTCTGAGGGCCTTCTGACAGTTCCCTCGCTGCGAGAAGCCAAATTACAGGGAACCAGGCAGAGGGCCTTCTCGGTAGTGGCACCCGCCCTGTGGAACGCCCTCCCACCAGATGTCAAAGAGAAGAACAACTACCAAACTTTTAGAAGACATCTGAAGGCAGCCCTGTTCAGGGAAGCTTTTAATGTTTAATAGCTTATTGTATTTTAGTGTTTTGTTGGAAGCCGCCCAGAGTGGCTGGGCAAACCCAGCCAGATGGGTGGGGTATAAATAATAAATTGTTGTTGTTGTTGTTGTTGTTGTTGTTGTTGTTGTTGTTGTTGTTATTATTATTATTATTATTATTAGCTGCCTTTTTCTGAACCTGTTCCAGGCCTTGCCACCTGACCTACTTGCCCTTTTGGCCTGGTTTTAACCAGGGAAAACCTTCCGAAGGATAAGAGTCCATAGATCAGATTCAGGTGCTCTGCCCGTCACCTGAAATCTGCCAGAAAGGGTTGCCTCTGGCTGGGAAGCCTCTGACTTGACCTGACCAGGACATCTCCCTCCCCTACCCCCTTCTCTCTCTCCCTAAGATGAGTCCTGACCTTCGAAATAAACTTGGTTCTTGCAAGCTGCTTCCCTCTGGTTCATTAGCATTCCTTGGGTGTGATCCTACTTGTTGAAAGGGAGATGTTGTCGAGGTGTGATTAATCCTTGAAGGCGCTGGCTGTGAAGAGCCGCCCTCTTAATCCCTGATTATGTTCCGCTGAGAATAAAAACTGGATCAGGCACTCCCCATCTGACGCCGATACCCTGGGGGCTAATTAACAGGTTGCACCAGCTCCTGCGGCAACGTATAGTGACCAGCTGCCTGCTTGTCCCACAAGCAATTGTACAGCTGATGTTTATAAGGAGGTCAGAGGTGAAATGGTGACCTCTGCTGCAGGATTTTGTAATGGTTTTGCAAACATCAATGATTATAGAACAGTAGAGCTGGAATTCAGCCCTGAGTGCTCACTGGAAGGACAGATCCTGAAGCTGAGGCTCCAATACTTTGGCCACCTCATGAGAAGAGAAGACTCCCTGGAAAAGACCCTGATGTTGGGAAAGATGGAGGGCACAAGGAGAAGGGGATGACAGAGGACGAGATGGTTGGGCAGTGTTGTCGAAGCTACCAGCATGAGTTTGACCAAACTGCAGGAGGCAGTGGAAGACAGGAGTGCCTGGCGTGCTCTGGCCCATGGGGTCACGAAGAGTCGGACACGACTAAATGACTAAACAACAACAAGAGCTGGAATGAACCTCAAGGTTCATCTAGTTCAGGGATCAGCAAACTTTTTCAGCAGGGGGCCGGTCCACTGTCCCTCAGACCTTGTGGGGGGCCAGACTATAAGCCACCCCCCTCACGACTCTCCCCTCCCTTCTCCACAGCACTGGATGAGCCCCAGTGGCTGCTTACCTGTGTCTTGCGAGCGGCAGGGGCTGGCGGCTGCGGCGGTGGGACGATGAGCGGCGCATGAAAGGGTTCCGGAGAGGGGTTGCTTAAAATGGCGGCCGCTCGAGCGCTGGCGCTGTTGGCACCAGCAAAGCCCAGCTCCCTTCCTCCTCTAGGCAGGGCGGGGAGAAGCCAGGATGGAGGGAGGGAGGAGGCGCTGCCACCGCCGTGGGAGGGAGAGGGAAAGAACGTGCGCGCTGCCGATCCACACGGCGATTCCCGGACCATCCTCAGGCCGGATCCGGAAGGCAGTTGGGCCTGATCCGGCCCATGGGCCTTAGTTTGCCGACTTTCAACCCTCTGCAATGCAGGAATTGCAGCTGAAGAATTCCACTGCTAAACAGCTCTTGGCATCATTCCTAACGTTTAGCCAGAATCTCCTTTCTTGTCATTTGAATCTGTTAGTTCGGGTTCTGCAGAAAACAAACTTGCTCCATCTTCCATGTGACAGCCCTTCAGATATCTGAAGATGAAATGGTCACGTTTGCTGTGAGGAGGAGTGATAGGAAAGCAGAAACAAATAAAAGTGGAGACTCGGGGGCCAAATGACGCTTGTTCAGCATGTCGCTTTTAAGTTGGGCAAATCTTTGTTTACTGCAAATGGCAGCTGTGGGGAATCTGTTTTTGAAATGCAGTGACCTTGCTTGTTTATTGGAAGCATTTGCCCTTCAGATAGAAGCACATCTGGAAATGGCTGCAAATAGGGCGCAAGCCAAAACAGCTGGGTACATATAGGTGCTGTTACCTTTTAGCACAGGTGTTTTGCAGGTTAGTCTCTAAACATTCATGATCTTCTTTGCAGCTCGGTGTTTTGACTTGCAGAAGTCTGAAGCTATGCTCCGGAAGGTAAGAGGCTTATTATTATAAATATCAAAACAGATGCATGCAAATTGAAACTTCACACTGATAATTTGTATAATGCAGTGGTTCAAAAACAGTGGTCTAAGTGCCTCTTCATTCAAGTAGTCTGCAGTGTGACTGCGGATTTGAAGGCAGGAGAGGGCATGGCTGTTTTGTTACATATTCATATTGATTTTTAATTGCATTTTTAATGCTTGTGTTTCTTTACCTTGTATTTTATGACATTGTATAAAATACCGTAATATTATTTTATTTCTTTGCATTCTCTGGAATTGTAATACAGCAAAATGCACTATATATGAGAAAGCAATAAAAATACAATTAAAAGTCATGCAGCCCCTAGTATAACGTTGCACCACGTCCACAACAGGCAGAAAAATCATTAAGTGGTCCATCAAGACCCTCAGGAATTTTCAGTTTTTTATTTTGGGTGTGGGGGGGAGGGGGAGGTCGAGGATAGTTGGTATAATGCATCCCAGCAGGCCCAACATATCATAGAGTACATTGGGTCCCAAAAGGCGTTGTAAAAGTGGCCTCGTTTGCATATAACAACTTAGGGGCTGCCACAGAGAAGGCCCTCTCCTGGGCTCCCACCCCCCTGAACCTTTGAGCTCTGATCTTCACTCCCAGGAGTGTCTGTAGGGAAGGAGATGGCCTTTCTGGAAATAGGGCCTTAAGGATTTAGGACTTTATAAACACCTTGAATTGGGCCTGAAAACAAACCAGCAACCAGTGCTGCTGTCTGAGAACAGCGGATGTATGAGCTCTAAGGTTAACGCCAGCCCATAATCTGGCAGCTGCATTTTGGGCCAGTTGCCACTTCTGCGTTGTCTTCAAGGGCAGCCCAACGCAGTGTGCACTGCATCCCGGTCGTCTGGAAGAGGCCTAAGATGACCTATGTCTGTCCACCATTTGTCTTCTTCACTAATAGCTTTCTCTTTTTGGTCCCCCCCCGAAACAGCATATTGAAACCCGGAAGCACATGGATGCAGATCATATCCTAGAGTGGAAGGCCCCAGAGGTGCGTTCCTAATTTATTGGCTTCGTCCATACGTCTGATCCTGCCCCAGATTCCCCAGATTTTCCTCTTACGCATATCCAGCTGTCTCTTTACCCTCGGCCTGCTCACCTGCCTATACCTTGGCCCCCACAGGTCATTACAAAGTACATGGCCGGAGGAAGATGCGGTTTCGACCGGGAAGGCTGCCCCATCTGGTACGAGATCATTGGACCTCTCGACGCCAAAGGGATCCTCTTCTCGGCTTCGAAACAAGATTTGCTTAAAAAAAAGTTCCAGGACTGTGAGATTTTACGGCAGCTGTGTGTGGAGCAGAGTGAGAAGGTAAGACCTTGGTACCAGCCTAGAATGCCTGATTTCATGTCCGCCACATTCATGTCATACAGGCAACAACAATTTTACATGTGTCCGATTGATGCGTGACTGCGCATGCGCATCTATTATTTCTCCAATGAAAATAGGGACATCCAATTTCATTAATAATAATAATAATAATAATTATTATTATTATTATTATTATTATTATTATTATTATTATTATTTATTTATTAATATATTATTACCCTCCCCATCTGACTGGGTTGGCCCAGCCACTCTGGCCTGCTTCCAACATATATAAAAACATAATAAAATATTAAACATGTTTGCTATTACAGGGCTGCCTTCAGATGTCTTCTAAAGGTCGTATCCTTATCTCCTTGGCTCAGGGGGTTGCATAACTCCGTACCCTCCAACATTTCTCCAATGAAAATAGGGACGTCCTAAGGAAAAATGAGACATTCTGGGATCAAATCAGAAACTGGGACTCTGGCTTCTGTAAATCCGGGTCTGTCCCTGGGAAACAGGGACGCTTGGAGGGTGTGCATGCGTGCACCACAGTGACCCGGAAGTGGCTGAAAAAGGGGTCGTAACAGGACAGGGCATAATGGGCTTATGCATGCACCACCGTTGCACATGATGTCCTGGAACACAACCCCCATGCAAATTGGAGATTGCCTGTACTTTTAAAGCACCACAATACAACTTTAAACAGTCATGGTTTTTTTCTTCCCCTTCCCCTCACAAAGCTACAATTCCCAGATGTGTTTGGCAAGCTTTCCCTCTTCGCGGGGAACTCCAGGAATCGTAGCTCTGTGAGGAGGAATATTGGGGTCTCTCCTAACAACTTTCCGCACCCGTAACAAACCACTGCTCTTAAGTGCGCTTAACAAACCACAATTCTGGCAGGCTTGTCTTAACGTTCTTAAGAGCTCTCCTTTAAAACATAGTCTTCTGCATGTGGTCGCCTGTTACATTTGCTATGAATTTTTTGTGTGGAATTCTTCAGCGCAGTCTCCTACCAACATTCTGGCCATGGGATGGCGGGGTATCCGATCTCAACTGCTAAATTTAAAGAATAGTCACTGTCCTGTCAACCCGGTGCCACCTGGATGTTTTTGGACTGTAATTTCACCCTAGCCAGGACAGTTTAAAGACATTGTCCAAAACGACTGCAGGGGGTTCGGTCCCTTCCGACTCTACAATTCTATGATTCTGAAATATACTCGGAGTCGAGAGTGGATTTCATGCTCTTTATTCAGCTCATAGTGGTGAGGAGGAATGGAAGTTCCCCCAGAATGTCTGCTTTATATACATTATTTACACAATGGGCCCCACGTGATTGGCTAATTCCGGGATTCACCTGTAGGCCAATCAGGTTGCGGATTCACTTCCACCTGGAGCTGGATTGGGTGGCTCCTGTGGACCAATCAGACTGCTGCATTCTGAATCCTATTGTTCTAGGACCAATCAGACTGCTGCCTTTTGGATCCTAGTCAACTCAGTACATAACAGATTCTATGATTACATCTGGAGGACACCAATGTGGCAAAAGAGAGGGGGAGGAATGGTTTTAGATGTTTTTGCCTAAAGCATGTTTCGTCTTCTCTCTCTCTCTCTCTCTCTCTCTCTCTCTCTCTCTCAAGCTGGGGAGGAGAGTTGAAACAGTCATGATGATTTACGATTTTGAAGGGCTGGGCCTGAAGCATCTCTGGAAGCCAGCTGTGGATGCCTATTCTGAGGTGAGAATGGCAGGGAATCCACCCCCCATTGCATCTCTGAATGATTGTATCTGCTGTTTGGGGTGCAGTTTTAGTCCTGTATCTTTGTCCCAAGAATTCCCTCCCCACAGAATTGTTTGTGGCACCTTCAGTATGTCATATGCTAGAGACACATCTCTCTCCCCCCCCACCCCGAATACCGTATTTTTGCTATAAGACTCACTTTTTCCCTCCTAAAAAAGGGGAAATGTGTGTGCTTCTTATGGAGCGAATGCAGGCTGCGCAGCTATCCCAGAAGCCAGAACAGCAAGAGGGATTGCTGCTTTCACTGCGCAGCGATCCCTCTTGCTGTTCTGGCTTCTGAGATTCAGAATATTTTTTTTATTGTTTTCCTCCTCCAAAAACTAGGTGCGTCTTATGGTCTGGTGCGTCTTATAGAGCAAAAAATACGGTATATTTATTTGATTTTTCCATTTTAAAATTTACATTCACACATCGTATTACAGTCATACCTCGGGATAAATACGCTTCAGGTTGAGCGCGTTCGGGTTGCGCTCCGCAGCGACCCGAAAGTAATGCAGATTACCTGGAAGTAAAGCGAGATGAGAGCCACAACCCCAGAGTCGTCTGCGACTGGACTTAACTGTCAGGGGTCCTTTACCTTTACATGTTAGTGAATCTAGATACATTAATTGCTTCCCATAATTTGGCATGTAAAACACCTCTGAAATGTTTTCCTAACTCATTTCCCCCCCCTACCCTTTCAGCTCCTTGCCATGTTTGAAGAGAACTATCCTGAGTCCCTTAAACAAGTCTACGTTATAAAAGGTGAGCTTTGGAAGCAAAACTTGGGGTGGAAAACCCCTTTAAAGCCTGAGGACGTCATGGGAAATATCTGGGGACCACATGCCACTCAGTCAATTTCTTTGTCCCTGTTATAGCTCCCAGGCTCTTCCCAGTGGCTTACAACCTGGTGAAGCACTTTCTGAGCGAAGATACTCGCAAGAAGATTGTGGTCCTAGGAGGTGAGTAAGATCTGCCTTTGCTGGTTTCCAACATTTCTAGGAAACGGGAAACATAACAGAGGGAGAGCCGAGTACTCCCCCTCCCCCAAAAAGACCAACCCCCCCCATTAAAATGTGGCAAGCAAAGCAAATACAAGTGTGTTAAGCCCCTGCCGTTTGGACTCTGCATTTAATACCTTGCTAGCTTTCTCCTTGGGTGCATATCACCAATTTCTTTCCTGGTAGTGTAGACAGCACATGGAAATAATAGGAACATAGGAAACTGCCTTCTACAGGCTTGGATCATTGGTCCATCCAGCTCAGTATTGTCTGCACTGACTGGCAGCAGCTCTCCAGGGTTTCAGGCAGGAAGTCTCTCCCAGCCCGAGCTGGAGATGCTGCCTTTGGGGATTGAAGCTGGGACCTTCTGCATGCAAGACGGATGCTCTGCCACTGAGTCGTGAGCCCTTCCCCTACAACAGCTATAAAGGTAAAGGGACCCCTGACCGTTAGGTCCAGTCACGGACGACTCTGGGGTTGCGGTGCTCATCTCACTTTACTGGCCGAGGGAGCCGGCATACAGCTTCCGGATCATGTGGCCAGCATGACTAAGCCGCTTCTGGCAAACCAGAGCAGCGCACGGAAACACCGTTTACCTTTCCGCTGGAGCAGTACCTATTTATCTACTTGCACTGGTGTGCTTTCAAACTACTAGGTTGGCAGGAGCTGGGACCGAACAACGGGAGCTCACCCCATCGCGGGATTTGAACCGCCAACCTTCCGATCGGCAAGCCCTAGGCTCAGTGGTTTAGACCACAGCGCCACCTGCGTCCAACAACAGCTATATGAAGAAGCTAAATTGGCATCTGCCAGTTGATCTTTAGATGGCTTGAAGGCCATTGACAAAGATTTGTGACTCCCAGCTGTTTGAAAACAGCAACAAGAATTCCCACACCCACCCTAAATTATTGTCAGGCTTTGGGGACTCAGCTTTCTCCCCCCCTTTGGCCATAGATAAGCAGGACAAATCGAAGAGTCCCTTACCATTTAAAGAGTCTTTTAATGATCACAGCAAAAGAACAAAGCACCCATTCTCGGACTGAAGGTGTTCCCAATTAAGGATTCCACCCACTTCCCCCCATGTCACTTGCAACCTGGTCTCGCAACCACCTTATCTGCTCTACATGACCTTGGACTGATAGGCTGGACACCTTCCAGCGAGAGAGAGCCTGTTAGCTCTCTCTTTTCTGGTTCTTCTTCACTTTGCTGTCCACCCCCCAGTTCTTCCCAACTTTTGTCTTCAAAACTATGCCCCTCTGCAAACCGCTGCTCCAAATCTATACTGCTTCACTGCTCCCGGGCAGGAGCAGGGGGAGGGGGAGGCTCCCACCATTCCTCATCAGAGCAGTACATCTTAGCTTGGTCTCTGAGAATTATATTGCTGAAACAAATCAAGTGGGAGACTAGAAATGGATTTGTTCGCACCCAGCTCTACTGCTCAAAAGTAAAACTCCTGTCCTTGGAATCTTCTAAATCTGAGTGTTGTTTGCTCCTGGCTCCTATTCGCGGATCTGGGGAATTCTACTCTAGTAAAGCAAAGCAAAGTTGATCCCGCAAGCCTGACATTTGCCCAGTGCTTACCCATGTGAGCCAAGCTTAGTCTGTATTTGTTTGGGAATTTGGTTCCTCTGAATTTCAGCCAAGGCTCTGTGTCTGTCTGGAGGCATACGTGACGTCTCTTCTTAGAAACAGTTGCTTGCTCTGTAAATCACCACCCTGAAGTCCCAAGCTGGGAGGAAAAGGTTCCTCCTCCTTTCTCTGGGACCTATCCTTCCTCTGTATGGCTGAAGGGAAATTTAAAGCAGATTGCCTGAGGTCCCTCCTGCTGCTGCCTGGCTAGGTATGTCTTTTTCCAAGTCCCTTGTTTTTACCCTGCAGCAGACATCATAAAGCTTCCCTGTATTCTGGGCAGCAGAAATGAATGAATGAATGAATCCATTCAGAAAATCTGCCCTTAGCTGTTTAAAACTCCACTCCACAGTCATATATGGGAGCAGAGCTGTTAGCCACAGGAAGGCAGAGCAATTATTCCACTCACCCACCACCTGCCTCATATTTTTTTTAGCTTCCCCTTTAAAAGTAAATTCCCCATATCCCTATCTTCTTTTAACTTCTGGCAATGTAAAAGAGCAAATCCACACAAGCAGCGTCCCTGCCCCAGTTGCACAGCGATCTTCCACCGTTCTGGCCCATCACTGCAAAGGTACAGGGATGGCTGGGAGCCGTGGTTCAAAAATATCTGGATGACACCAGCTTGGGGAAAGGCTTGATGTACGCCTCTTTATTTATTTAGAGACATTTGCTGCCCACTCTTCAGCCAAAGTGGGGGGAGGAGCTCTTGGAGTGGCTCACATCCAATCACTTAGAACAAGACAGTCTCCGCCCACGACACACAAGGGAAAAGGGATGGGGAGGGAAGAGGAAAAAAGCAAACTCAGGCCACCAATTCTTAAACAGTTGTTTGTATAGCAACCAGCTGGTATTTTATGTTGTGAACCACTCTGTGATCTTTGGGTGAAGGGCGGAATATAAATTTAATAAATAAAAATAATAGAAACAGTTTCTGGGTAGGAGGTACCTGATGGAGCTGGTGTTTTGGCAGAGCTGATGGAATGGCTGTTGACAGGTGCTAGTTAAGGGAGAGGAGGGCTGATAGATTGTCAATACTAAATATATAAACATGCACAGAGCATTATTGTTGTTTTGGAGGTGGGGATGGTTAGAAAGTATTTGGGGGAGGGAACTCTAGTATGTTACTATCCCCCTCAACCAACCAAGGCTGAAATCACACAGCAGTTCTCATCTTATATTTGAGCTTTCTCACCACGTAAAAGCCATTTGCGAAAAAATCAATGGCGTACAGTGCATCTTTAGTGCTCGTTTCTGCATTATCTGATTCCAGGGGGAAATCTTATTAGCAGACCCCTTAAGCCGGAAAATCATGGGAGGAAGTGATGGCAATTTGGGGCAGTTCTTTCCTGCCATTTTTGAGGGGATCACAGGGGAACTGAAGCCCATTTGTGTGCGAAAAGGGTCAGGGTAGTGGTATTGACATTTACCACTGTGTCACATGATGCCCACAAGTGTGATTAAGTTGCCGGTATATTATTTTTAAAGCCACAGTTACCAACAGATACTACAGTGCAAAAGGAACATTAGAAAGCCATACCAAAGCACCCATGTTATAATTAGGAAAGCTAAAAGTATCTAACGAGCAGAGTTCAAATGGCTGTTTTTTAAATATATGACTTGATTTTCCCCCCTTATAAAACTGTTGAATATTTTTGTTTTTATAAAGCTCTATAAAGGGAATCTTTGTACGCATTACTACTTAATAATCTGTGTACATTTGTCCTTCCAAACTATGATGCTTTGTAGTTTAATTTTTTTGTTTTCTTGTTATATTTGGGTTTGGGGTTTTTTTTGGTTAACAAATCAATTATTAAAATAAAAAAACTAACTAACGCAATATTCCCCAAATGCACCCCAAACTGTGTCCAGTTCTGGGCACCACAGTTCAAGAAGGACACTGACAAACTGGAACGTGTCCAGAGGAGGGCAACCAAAATGGTCAAAGGCCTGGAAACGATGCCTTATGAGGAACGGCTAAGGGAGCTGGGCATGTTTAGCCTGGAGAAGAGGAGGTTAAGGGGTGATATGATAGCCATGTTCAAATATATAAAAGGATGTCATATAGAGGAGGGAGAAAGGTTGTTTTCTGCTGCTCCAGAGAAGCGGACACGGAGCAATGGATCCAAACTACAAGAAAGAAGATTCCGCCTAAACATTAGGAAGAACTTCCTGACAGTAAGAGCTGTTCAACAGTGGAATTTGCTGCCAAGGAGTGTGGTGGAGTCTCCTTCTTTGGAGGTCTTTAAGCAGAGGCTTGACAACCATATGTCAGGAGTGCTCTGATGGTGTTTCCTGCTTGGCAGGGGGTTGGACTCGATGGCCCTTGTGGTCTATTCCAACCCTATGATTCTATGATTCTAAATCTTGCCAAGGCTTTGTGTTGAGATGCAGGCTAGGATACGACACAGACAGCTAGCGGCTTATACAAAATCTGGCATATTGGAGGAGGGGGAAATATTGGGGGGTTTTGGACTGTGGACTCCAGGGACTTTTGCTTACCTGGTTAGTGAGACTAATGTTTGCCCTCAGAGGCCCACCTGGGCCAGCGACCAAGGAATGTTCCCTGAAAAGTGACCGCAAGGTTGCTGACCTGTTCAGCTGCTGCGTTCTCAACAGCAGGAGGGATGAGAGAGAAATGGACTGGATTAAGGAATCATAAAATTGGAGAGTTGAATGGTACACCAAGGTTCATCTAGTCCAACCCCCTGCAATGCAGGAATGACAGCTGAGGAATCCCTGACAGACGGCCTTCCAGCCTCTATTTAAAAACCTCCAGTGAGGGAAAGCCCACCACTTTCTGAGGTAGTCCATTCCACTGTTGAAAGCTTCTTACCACCAGAAAGTTCTTACTGATGCTGTTGGAATCTCCTTTCTTGTACAGTGGTACCTCTGGTTACGTACTTATTTCATTCCGGAGGTCTGTTCTTAACCTGAAGCACCACTTTAGCTAATGGGGCCTCCTGCTGCCGCCGCGCAATTTCTGTTCTCATCCTGAAGCAAAGTTCTTAACCCGAGGTACTATTTCTGGGTTGGCGGAGTCTGTAACCTGAAGCGTATGTAACCCGAGGTACCACTGTAATTTAAATCCATCGCTTCTGGCCCTAACCTCTGGAGCAGCAGAAAACAAGCTTGCTCCATTTCCCACATGACAGCCCTTCAGATATTTGAAGAGTAAATGTCAGCTCTGGAGAATATTGACCTTTGCTGGTTAATCTCCAGCTTTTTCATAATCCCCTTAGACCAGGGGTCGGCAATCTAAGGCCCACTACGCTGGCCCGCTTCCTATTGGCTGCAGGAAGCTCCTGCGGCCAATGGGAAGCTGCGCACACCTCCTCTGCGCCGGAAGGAGACCAGAAATAGCGTTTGTGCATGTGTCTGCGGAACCGTGAACCACCCCAAGCCACAAATCTTTGCCGACCCCTGCCTTAGACAAATTGCTTGCCGGTTGTATTGAGTCGGCTGGAAATCAATTTCTGACCAATAAACGAACCCTCTCACTTTTCTCCCAGCTAACTGGAAGGAGGTTTTGCAAAACCACATTGACCCCTCACAGATCCCCAAGGAATATGGGGGAACCCTCACAGACCCAGATGGAGACCCCAAATGCAAGACTATGGTATGGACACTCCTCAGGTAGCACTCGGGGGTCCTTAGCCCTTGGGAAGGGTGGGGCGGGGGTCTATCCCCAGCAGCTAGGGAGGTTTGGTGGCCTAAATTTCCTCACCCACTCTGGGCGGCTTCCAACAGAATATTAAAATACAATAACCTATTAAACATTAAAAGCCTCCCTAAACAGGGCTGCCTTCAGATGTCTTCTAAAAGTCTGGTAGTTGTTTTTCTCTTTGACATCTGGTGGGAGGGCGTTCCACAGGGCGGGTGCCACTACCGAGGAGGCCCTCTGCCTGGTTCCCTGTAACTTGGCTTCTCGCAACGAGGGAACCACCAGAAGGCCCTCGGAGCTGGACCTCAGTGTCTGGGCAGAACGATGGGGGGTGGAGATGCTCCTTCAGATATACTGGACCGAGGCCGTTTAGGGCTTTAAAGGTCAGCACCAACACTTTGAAAAGTCCAGCAAAGACTGGAGTCTGGATATAGAGGAACAAGACACAAGTTTGCAAGACAGGAAGCAGCTGGAAAGAGCCAGACAGCTGGAAAGACCCAGACAGCCATGCAGAGGGGATGCTTACTTTGCCTCCTTCTGGTTTCCAAGGCTTGTGGCCCACCGTTAAATTCTCAGAAGCATGTTACTGCTTTGCACACACTTGCTAGAGAACTTGGTGTGAGCTGATTACAATCCAGTCAACATCTAAATAACAAGCAAATATTTTTTGTTTATGGGAGTGCTGCTTTGACTGCTAGGTTAATTATCAATCCCTCAAGATTTTCTAGGCCGTACCTCTTTTACTAAGACAGACCACTAGAAAGCTAACAATTCAGAGCCAATTACTTTGGCTCCGAGTAGAAATGGCTTTTAAAGAATTAACTCTTGGGCCACATTCACACCATATGTTGAAAGCATCATGGCGCCACTTCCATGGCTTCCCCCTAAGAATCCTGGGAGCTGTAGTTTGTTCAGGATACCAAGAGTATCCTGAGCATAGCTGTTGAATAGTGGGTAGACATGGCAGACGACACAGCGATTTCTCCAAAGCAGCTCTTTATTTTGTAAGCTGGAACAGAACTGAACAGCAAACAGCTCAGCCGGCCTGCTTTTATAGGCAGCCGGCTGTCAACATTGTAGCAACAACAACCCAGGGTTTCCCGCCTAAAATAACTGACATGGACCTGAGTGAAAACTATCTACAGTATCCCCCTGCTGGCCCAGGGTGAGAACTTCAGTACATAACACTAGCTGTCAACTTTTCCCTTTTCTTGTGAGGAATCCTATTCGGAATAAGGGAATTTCCCTTTAAAAAGGGGAAATGTTGACAGCTATGATCCTGAGGAGACCCCTATTCCCCACCCAGAGCTACAATTCCCAGAGTGGCTTAACAATCAATCCCTCTTCGGGGGGGGGGCGGCAATGGTGGTGGGTGCCCATTTGGACTGATAGTGCGGAAGCCCAGGAGGTGAACAGTAGGTGGCGCCAGAGCCACTGGCAGGTGGAGCAATCTGATAGTAGATTTGTCCCCATCTTTCTCTTCCTTGCTGAGTTCTACCAGCGCAGCACTAAGGAAGAAGAAGCCAATATTCAGGGCACCCACTTAAGGCATGCGGGCGGAGGCTGGCTGAGGTCACGCTGAGGGGCAGTGTCCCATTTGCCCTAATGGAGCTGCTATCAAGGGATGTTGGGAGTTGTAGGGCACCTGCATGGGCTACTCCTGGAGCATAGGCCAGGTCTAGGGCTATGGCTGTCCAGACCCAAAAAGGCCTTAGACTTTGTTCCAGGCTGCTGAGGCGGAGGCTTCTAGATGCAAGACATCACCACCTGCCCAGCAACCAGGCTTATATCGATATAGGGGGAAGCAGCTCTTTCAGTCTCTGAGCGCGATGCATCGGAGTAGGGAGTGCAGAGGACAGGCAGCAGGGAAGGAGCGTTGAGCAGGTGTTGTCTCAGCAGCCGCAGCCTCAGTCTCATCACCGATGTGGTTTTGTGCGCAGCTTAACCATGGTGGAGAAGTCCCCAAGAAATACTACGTACGGGACCAGCTGAAGCAGCAGTATGAGCATTCGATGATGGTGAATCGGGGCTCCTCGCAGCAGCTGGAATACGAGATCCTCTTCCCGGGCTGTGTGCTGAGGTAAGCCGAGGCAGGAGCAAACCGTGGGCTGAGCAAACCATGGAATTCTGGCAGCACACCTATTTTAATATTTTTCTGGCTCACCTTCCAAGGAGCTCAGGGTGATGTGCGGTTCTCTCATCCCATTTCACCCACAGGACAATGCTGCCAGGTAGGTTAGAACCAGAGCGAGTGACTGTGGCCTAAGGTCACCTGGTGGGTTTTGTGGCTGGGTGGGGATGTGATCTCTGGCCTTCTAGGGCCTAATTGAACGCTCTGGCCACTCCACCACACTGAACTACAACTCCCATCATCCCTGGCCATTGGCCATGCTGGCTGGGGCCGATGGGAGTTGGAGTTCAGCAGCTTTGGGCAAGGCCGTGAGTGGGCACACACACACTCCAGTCCAGCAATCTAACCCAGCCATCACCTCCCCAAACGAGAACTGACATTAAACAGGCTATTTCATTGTTAATCCCATTATTGTTCAGCGGTAAGCTTTTAATAAAAGATGCAAGGGACCTTTGCTGGACAATACAGTGGTACCTCGGGTTAAGTACTTAATTCATTCCAGAGGTCCGTTCTTAACCTGAAACTGTTCTTAACCTGAAGCACCACTTTAGCTAATAGGGCCTCCTGTTACTGCCACGCCACGGGAGCACGATTTCTGTTCTCATCCTGAAGCAAAGTTCTTAACCTGAAGCACTATTTCTGGGTTAGCGGAGTCTGTAACCTGAAGCGTATGTAACCTGAAGCGTATGTAACCCGAGGTACCACTGTACGCACTCTGCACAAACATCATAGGAGGACTTTAGACATGGGGATGGGGGCATCGCCAGGCAAAATGGGGCACAGACTGTACCACTTCAGAATGTGGAGGAATGAATGCTTCTCATAATTCCTAACCTTCCTTCACTTCACCCCTCTCTCCTCTGATATCCCTGCTTATAGGTGGCAGTTCATGTCGGACGGGGCCGATATAGGCTTTGGCGTCTACCTGAAGACCAAAGTAGGGGCGCGCCAGCACGCCAGCGAAATGGAGGAAGTGCATCCCAACCAGCGCTACAACGCCCACATGGTGCCCGAAGACGGCTCGATCACCTGTGCGGATCCAGGGATCTGTAAGTGGTACCCAGATCTCTCACTTTCCAGTCCCCCCCCCTCCAGTCTTCCCTGAATGGACTTGAGTTCATCTGGAGAGATGTACTTTATTTTGCATAGAATTTCATGGGGAATTCCGACCTGCCCCCCTGCAGGTATCATGCGCTGTAATAACACTCTTATGCAATAGTGTATCATTTCTGTACAGCATGCACTTACATAGAATTGTAGAGTTGGAAGGGACCTCGTGGGTCATCTAGTCCAACCCCCTGCAATGCAGGAATCAGATAATATTATACATAATATATTACAGTGGTACCTTGGTTCTCAAGCTTAATCCGTTCTGGGAATCTGTTCGACTCCTGAAACCGTTCAAAAACCAAGGGTTGGCTTCTGATTGGCTGCAGGAGCTTCCTGCAGCCAATCGGAAGCTGCGGAAGCCATGTCGGACGTTCGGCTTCCAAAAAACGTTTGCAAACACTCACTTCCAGGTTTGTGGCGTTTGGGAGCCGATTTGTTCGGGAGCCAAACCGTTTTTATTTATTTTTATATATATTGTTGTTGCAAACCATGGAGTCCCCTCAGGCCCTCCAGCCCTCAGGCCCTGCCTGTGGGTTTCCCATGGAGGCATCTGGTTGGCCACTGTGATAACAGGATGCTGGCCAAGATGGGCCATTGGCCTGATCCAGGAGGCTCTTCTGACGTCCTTAAGGCCTGGAAGCCTATAGTCCTCTCTTTACCAGCTGCCCAAGGCAGCAGCCTCACTCTGCCCAATAGTACAGCCGCCGCGCTCCCTGCGAAGAGACAGAGTTTGGCTGTTCAAAAGGCTTCCTTCCTCCAGCTAGGGTGGAGCTCAGTACAGTCGTACCTTGGAAGTCGAACGGAATCCAAGCTTCTGATTGGCTACAGGAAGTTCCTGCAGCCGTCGGACATTCCAAAGAACATTTGCAAACTGGAACACTCACTTCCGGGTTTGCGGCGTTCGGAGCCAAAACGTCCGGGTACCAAGGCACAACTGTACTTGCTCGGTGGCACTCTGGGCTCCCGGGAGTTTCGGAAAGGGGCAGTGGCAGCCCTGACATGGCACTTTGCTGTCCTTTTTCTCTGCCCACGCAGACGTCCTGCGGTTTGACAACACGTACAGCTACATCCATGCCAAGAAAATCAGTTACTCGGTCGAAGTGCTTCTTCCGGACAAGAAAGTGGAAGACGACTTCCAGAAGGTGGAGGAGCAGACAAAAGAGCTGAAGATTAACCACGCCTGATGGAGCTTTCTCTCCCCTCCACCCGCCACCCCCCCCACAAATCCTAAAAACGCTTCTTCCCCTTGGGAGGGGTGGGTTTATGGGGCAGAGGAGTGGAAGGAACATTCCCAAGGATGGTGGGGGAATTTAATTTGGGGCGGTTAGGGTGGATTACTTTTGCAATTGGATACAGAAACCAATTGGTCTCTTCCAGTCCCTACTGTGGGACGTTGCCCACCAGCAGTTTTTTTAGGATAGTGGGGATTGATTTGGAAACGCTAATGGGCAGAGGAGAGCTGCCTTCTGTCTCTCAATCTCTGTAGCCCTGCCTCTGTGTTTACATGGCGCCTGAGACCTGACGGGCCTTCCTTCTCACGTGGGGCTGCATTTCCTCAAGGCTAATTGGTCACAGGCCACGGACCAGTGGTGGGCAAGGCTACCCCGTTCTCCCCCCCACACACACACTGCTTCTTTCTCTTCCTCTCCCCCACAACCCACCAGGCTGCTGGGATCACAATGGATCGCTCATGCCAGAGGTCTGAACTGGTTGCGTGCAGGTGGCTTCTGAAATTACGATGAGGGCCGCCTGTGGCCCTCGGAGCAGAATTTCCCCACCCCTGCAGTAGGCATAGGGTTGAAAGAGCAGGGGGGAGTTTTGGGACACCTTGCCGGACTGGACTGAGTGCTCTCCAGATGCTTTGGACTACAACTCCCATCAGCCCTGACCCAACACGTCCACATTTCTCTACTACAGGATTCCCCAAAGCTGGTTTTTTTTTGGACTACAACTCCCATCAGCCCTAGCCAGCTGGACCCAGCGGTCAGGGATGATGGGAATTGTAGTCCACAAAAAGACCCTGCTCTGGTGTGTCCTTTACCAAAATAACAAATCCCTTTCTGGCTGTTTTAGAGTGAACCTGGGGCCCTCCAGGTGTTGCTGGACTACAACTCCCATCATTCCTGACCATCGGCCATGCTCCCAGACGGGACTGGTGGGTGTTGGGAATCCAACGGCATCTGCAGGGCCGCAGGTTAGCCACGCCTGCTCTGTGGATGTGTTTAAGCCTCCCTCCACTTCCTCAAAAAGCCACCTCCCCTTACTGCCCATCACTGCCCTCTGCAGTGAATTCCACAAGCGCACAGAGCCCGGTGCAAAGTCCTTCCTTTCAAGCCCAGGCCTGCGTAGCCTGGGACTCATCCGTCGGAAGCGGCTGCCATCAGCCGTGTACTGGAAGGCGCTGCTTTTCCGCTCTCCTTGTTCTGGCTGTTCCCAGGAACGGCAGGCACCTCTCAAACTCTGGGAAGGTTTCAGCAAAAAATGTATTGGGGGGGGGCAAGATGGGGTGGCTCTCTCCACGCAAGGCTTGCTTCTATTAATGGATTGCCTTAAATCCACCTGCCTCGTTTACGCTTCGTGCACCTGCAACAGGTGAGCTGGACCTGCCTGCATGGCACTGGTCCTGAATGCCTGAAAATCCTGCACATTTTTTTAAAAAAGCAGTTTACAGGGTAGGTTCTCACCTCAGTTTTTTGGGGGGCGGTTGTGGGATCTTTGCTCAGCAAGGGGGTTTCAAGTTGTACCTGCGACACATTTTCAGAGAGGGAGGGAAAAGCTTAGGAAGAGGCCCCTTCTTCCCTGCCTATCTCTGTCGAAATTTTTGAGCGCGTGGAAAACCGGAGGCCCAAGGAAATAAAATTTTCCCGATGGACACGTTCGCCGTTGGCTCGCATCTAAGCCCAAGTCTCGGCCAGAATGTCCAAAAACATAGCACTTTTGTTTTTCTTCCTCCCGCGCCTCAATTTTAGTTTTTCAGTTACCTTGAAGATGAGAAATGTTAATAAACATCCGAGTTGGTATGCATGCTTACGTCTGTTCACGGTAGGGTTTTTTGGGGCGGGGGGAGGGAATAAAAACTGGACCTTGCAGAAAAGATTAAGAACAAGGCAATCCCTGTTCCGCAAGATTACCATGTACAAGTTGCATCACGAAAGGAAAGGGTGATGAGGAGGGATGAGGAAAACAAGCAAACTCAAGCACATGTTCAGCACTTGAGTCATTTGTTACAGTTGGGGTTGTGGGGTATAATAATAATAATAATAATAATAATAATAATAATAATAATAATAATAATATACTGTCCTATACTCAGAGGTCTCAGGGCAGTTCACAGAACAAAATCAAAATATAAAACCACAAAATATATCATCAATAGTGTAGAACTTCCTGAGGAATCATTCCCTATGTTGACTTATTTCTCTGGCCTAAGGAAGTTAATAGTCGCAAACCCTAAAAACAATGCAATCAAAATGATAAAATGAAACATGAAGCTAAAATATAAACTGCTGGAGAGGCATTGAGAATTTTCTGCTCTAGGCTTTCCCTTAACTGGTGGTCTTTTGTTCCTGGACCACAACTCCCATGATCCCTAACTCTTAGCCCCATTGGCTGCTAGGGCTGATGGGAGATGGAGTCCAACATATGAAGGGATACAAGGAAGGACTACAAAACTTCAGGCAATGGTTTTTAAGTGCTCTTACATTGGGGGGGGGGGTTGAGCATGACAGGGCTCCTCTGAATCAATTGCAATGTGCTCAATTACTATTTGTGGCACGTATTTTCTTGAAAAAGAAAACAGAGGATGGAATATTCAAACGTGTACTCCCCTAAATGTAGCATAAAGTGGTACAGTCCAGAAAACTGCTACCTGGTTTATTTAAATAATTTTTATCCCACTCGTCAGCTGGAAGGGGGAAAGTCTCCCATCGTGGCTTACTGAAAAAAGGCATTTCTTACTTTCTGTCTTGCATTCTTAAACAAAAACATACATATATGGCACAAAAGAAAAAATAAGTCTGGAGGGAAGACAAAAATATGCAAGCTCAGGTATGAGTTATTGGTTACAAGTTCTGATCACCAGCTGCATTCTGCGATCTCATTTCCATGTTCTTGTTTAGGAAGAGAGAGAGGTGTATACAATAAATCCAGTTGAGTTGGGTGGCCAAAGTTGGGGTTAAGGATGGGGTTAAGGTAAAAGTAAAGGGACCCCTGACCATTAGGTTCAGTCGTGACCGACTCTGAGGTTGAGGCACTCATCTCGCTTTATTGCCTGAGGGAGCCATGTACAGCTTCCGGGTTATGTGGCCAGCATGACTAAGCCGCTTCTGGCAAACCAGAGCAGCACTATCTACTTGCACTTTGACGTGCTTTTGAACTGCTAGGTTGGCAGGAGCAGGGGCCGAGCAACGGGAGCTCACCCCGTCGCTGACCTTCTGATCGGCAAGTCCTAGGCTCTGTGGTTTAACCCACAGTGCCACCCGCGTCCCAAGGATGGGGTTAAGGAGAGACTAAAGACCTCTGTTCTAAGCGAATGGGATGGCCTCAATGCGACTGCTTGGTCTCCCAGATGGGAAGCTGAGCAGACGCTACTAAAAATCTGTTGTTTAAATTGGCTGACACTAACACTGGACTCAGAAATACCAGCCAGATAGAAACATAGCAGACCCACAGGGTGCAGAAACCGGTTAAGCAGGTTCACAGTTTGCCAACCAGACAATGCATTTTCCACCTGCGTTTTCGCTACCCAGCTACTTACCTGTCACTGCCAATATATTTATAACTGGGAGTCAGATTTAGGGATCCCTGTATCCTTAGCACTTATAACTGCCCCCCCCCCCCGCTCCATGAAAATGCACTAAAACCATAACACATAAAACCAGGAAGCTCTAACTCGTACAGTATGGGGAACAGTAGCCACATGTGTAGGGGAGGAGGGAGAAATGCAATTCAGTTCATGTTTTAAAGGTGTATCTACCAAATCTGCATTTTCCAGAATGGAAACACAGCCATTCTTTTAAATTTGCACTTCTCTGAATTTTGTAGTGTAAGTCTTCAGTCAAGTAACTTGTGCAAAATACATACCGTATTTTTCGCTCTATAAGACGCACCAGACCACAAGACGCACCTAGTTTTTGGAGGAGAAAAACAAGAAAAAAATTATTCTGAATCTCAGAAGCCAGAACAGCAAGAGGGATCACTGCGCAGTGAAAACAGCAATCCTTCTTGCTATTCTGGCTTCTGGGATAGCTGCGCAGCCTGCATTCGCTCCATAAGATGCACACACATTTCCCCTTACTTTTTAGGAGAGAAAAAGTGAGTCTTATAGAGCAAAAAATACGATATATACGGGTACAGAGTGTGCAAAACGCATCTCTTAGTGAAAATGCCATACAAATATGAAGGGGAGTGGATTTACAAAATTGTGTATATTAGGTAAAATTGCATATGAACAGGTGTATATAAAGTGGTAAAAGGCTCTAAAAGGCTGAAGAATTCTCATGAGGGCTAAAAACAAAAATGCAAATGGATGTGGAAATATGGAGAACTCAGCTTAAGAAAATGAGGAAATAAGAGGAAGCAAACTAGATAATCGTCCTTAGTAATGAGCTTCCAGGAATTAGTGAGAGGCGTATTTGCAAATTACACAACAGGCAATTCAAAAACAAAACAAAAGCCTGTTAGGATTTATCATCCTCAGTATCTGCACACACACACACACACACACACGTGTGTGTGTGTGGGTGTATTGCACAAAGATCTGATAACATTTCTCTTAGCAGCTGCTAAAGATTCCTAGAGGTTAGAAACAGCCTCTAGGTTCTCATTACAAGGCTAGTACCTGAGATGTGGGAACAGTCTTGGCCAGCTTAAGGAAACATCGGCCACTCTCCCACCCAATGTTTTGTACTGGTTGTAGCTGATGGAAGCTCTAGTTCAAAACACCTGATGGGCTGTCAAAGGCTGGTTTGGAGCATTGCTTTAGCTGAGAAGTCGATGCTCAGATGATGACACAGCATGGCAAAATTTATAGAAAATGTGTTTTTTTCCGAATATGTGCTCCTCTTTCCGAAAAGGCAGAAGTACTACTCTGTATTGAAGATGGATTGTTTTTCCACTTTCTCCCTTATATACATAAAAATGTAAGTGGTCGTCACTCTCGACAGTTCACAGCATGAGGAATGGCAGGCTGCCCCAGTGTGGTTTAACAGAGGGAGGGAGGCTCTCTATGCAGCAAGTGCCTCTCCCTCCTTTCAAAGGTTGTGGGCTTGGGGCAAAGGTGTTTGGTGGCAGTCACAGCAAACTGGAGAAAGAGACCTTAGTTCTGTATTTGCTCTTTAACTTGGTCTACCCACCATTGAGAAAATGTGTGAAGTTTCTGACGTCCAAAGATCTGTTTTGCTTTGTGCTTATTGTTCCTGAACAAAATATTTACAAATAAAACTCATTTCTTAAAAATATAAATGCATGCATGTGCTCTTTACTATTGATTTTGTGCATCTAACCGGCTTCAGGGCTTGGAGGTAGTGATTTCTGTACCAAATTAAGCCGGAGAGAGCAATCATGCACCTTCACTTTTACAGCCAAGAAGACAATGAATTGGATTTCAAGCAAACCAACCTCTGACAAACCACATGACGAAAACAGAGTACTGTACCTTTCAATGGGAGAGATCATATTATCTCTACAGTTCAGTGACAGGCTGCATGCAATCCTGTTCCTTGCAATTCCAGTTTTAAAGGGATCTTGCATAGGAAGTGGTGGAAATACCTCTTAAAAAATACTGTAAATGAAAATGCATTTCTGTTTTCCTTCTTGAACCGTGCATGCGAACAGATTTTTGTATCTTCGTATCTGGTTGTCACTCAACATCATGTGCCCACCAGCCTGTGCTTTCATAGGCGGACCTAAATGGGACGGGAGGCATTTCCGGCTGGTGTGTTAGCCATCTTTGTTAAGGGCGGAAGAGCTGATTTAGGGATCATGCGCCAATTCCTGTCTTTGTGTACAATTAGCCTAAACCTGGAGTTCCGCTTTTTCATTAAGAAAAACGAGAGAGACACCTGTGATACCTTGAAGGCCACGCCTCTATTGTGGCGCATGCTTTTGTGGGAATCAGGGGCAACTGGTCAAGAAGGTTTTGCTCCTGGCATAACACACAAGTTATGATCTCCTTAAGTACATTTAATACCTAAAAATTACAAACACGTCTGATATCTTTTTATGTGCTAGGATCGCTTGAGGATAGCATATTACTGGCTGGACCGAGACAGCCTTTTTCTAGAATGCTCTCCCAGCTAGGGAAATCTGCTAAGTAGCAGCTAAGTTTGTAATCTGTTTTGGTGCTAGAAGAAACATTTTTATTTTCTGACGTCTGTTAGATTTTGATTCCTGATTTGGAGGTTTATGCGGTCAGCCTGTTGCATGGGTTGTTTTTTATTTTAAAAAAAAACCATTAAAAAATTAGTTTGCTCATTGTTTTAGAAACCATCCTGAGAGTTTTTAACTGAAATGAAAGGGAGGAAGGTGTCAAACGTGAACATGAATAAGCAATTAGGAATCGGCCCTACCGTTAGGCAGCCACTTCTGGGGAGCAGAGAGAGCAGATAGAGACGCGTGTCTGCCTGCCCGGGAGCTCCTCAACTCGTTTCCTACCCTAAAGTGAACTGGAGAATTTGGCAGCTCGGATTTCAAACACAGCTGCCTCGGCCTAAATCTAATCCCCATTTAATCCCCTGCTAGATAGTGTTAACAAGCGCGCCATCTCGTGGTCTGAACGGACTCGTCTCCATCACGAGATTCAGATTTGAGCCATCAGCGCCCTTTTTCGGTTTCATTTCTGTTCAAGCTGCCAACACACTGTGTCCCAAAAGCACATTACTGTATTTCTCACCCAAAAGAATCTTGAGGACTGTAGTTTTTTTAAGGGTGTTGGAAATTATAGCTCTGTGGATAGTGAAAGCTGCAGCTGCCATTTTTATTTAATTGCGTTTATATTTCCCAAGGAAACTCAGGGTGGTTCAATGGCTGGACCCTGCTCCATATTATCGTCACAATATAAGCTAGGCTAAGAGATGGTGACTGGGACCCAAGGCGAGTAAGCAGTGAGCAGCACAGAGCCATGTGGGAATTTGAACCCTGGTCCCTCGCAGCTCATAGTTTGACACTCTTAATTTATTCTTTGCCTGTAGCCTGCACCCCACCAGACGTTGACCTCCCAGTATACACCAGCCCTGGCTAGTGTGTCCGCAAAGAACCTGGAAGACCCACATCCAGGCATGAACCCCTCTGGGTGACCTTGGGACAGTCAACTGTCTCTCAATCTAACCTACCTTAATTGTGAGGATAAAGTGGAGAGGGAGGGAAAGCATGTACGCAAGTCTGAGCTCCTCTGTGGAAGGATGAGGTATAAATGTACAGTGATACCTCAGATTACATACGCTTCAGGTTACAGACTCCACTAACTCAGAAATAGTGCTTCAGGTTAAGAACTTTGCTTCAGGATGAGAACAGAAATCATGCTCTGGCGGCACGGCGGCAGCAGGAGGCCCCATTAGCTAAAGTGGTGCTTCAGGTTAAGAACAGTTTCAGGTTAAGAACTGACCTCCGGAACAAATTAAGTACTTAACCCAAGGTACCACTGTAATAGCTAAAGGTAAAGGGACCCCTGACCATTAGGTCCAGTTGTGACCGACTCTGGGGTTGCGGCGCTCATCTCGCTTTATTGGCCAAGGAAGCTGGCGTACAGCTTTCCGGGTCATGTGGCCAGCATGACTAAGCCGCTTCTGGCGAACCAGAGCAGCGCACGGAAATGCCGTTTACTTTCCCGCCGGAGCGGTACCTATTTATCTACTTGCACTTTGACGTGCTTTCAAACTGCTAGGTTGGCAGGAGCAGGCACCGAGCAACAGGAGCTCACCCCGTCGCAGGGATTCGAACCGCCGACCTTCTGATCGGCAAGTCCTGGGATCTGTGGTTTAACCCACAGCACCACCCGCGTCCCTATAAATGTAATAATATTAATAATGGGACATAAGACCCCTTCAGCTGAATCTCTTCCAGCATGCTGCTCTCATAAATGACCTGGAGGAGGCTCACCACCATTTTGCCCGCCTGATCATGCAACGCTTGGGGAGAGGGAATTTAGTGGAGCGAGCTTCGCCTGCTGGATTTCTGCCTGCTGAGCTGCTGCGGGAAGGAAGTGGCGCCAGTATATTTATTGCATTGATATCTCACCTTTCTCCCCTACCCCCTCCTCCAAGAAATGAATGAATGAATGAATCTTCATTTGCGTCAGCCATCGGCCATAGCAATAAAACAACAATACGATATACAAAGAATAGAAATAAAAAGTCAATTATATAAAATACATTTTAGGGTGTGTGGTTTTTTTTAATCAATAGTCAAATAGTGGATCTTATTCGGATTGCCCCAGCTAAAAACCCTGCAACCTTTGCTGTCCCCTGCTCATCTTGATCTGCCAAGAGAAAGGACACTGTGGCAGTGGTTGGGCAATCTGGAATGGACAAGAAAAGCGGAGTGATAATCTCATCACCTCCTGGCAAATAGAAGGGGAAGAAATGGAGGCAGTGAGAGATTTTACTTTCTTGGGCTCCATGATCACTGCAGATGGTGACAGCAGCCACGAAATTAAAAGACGCCTAGACAGCATCTTAAAAAGCAGAGACATCACCTTGCCAACAAAGCTCCGTTAAAGCTATGGTTTTCCCAGTAGTGATGTATGGAAGTGAGAACTGGACCTTAAAGAAGGCTGATCGCTGAAGAATTGCTGCTTTTGAATTATGGTGCTGGAGAAGACTCTTGAGAGTCCCATGGACTGCAAGAAGATCAAACCTATCCATTCTGAAGGAAATCAGCCCTGAGTGCTCACTGGAAGGACAGATCGTGAAGCTGAGGCTCCAATACTTTGGCCACATCATGAGAAGAGAAGACTCCCTGGAAAAGACCCTGATGTTGGGAAAGATGGAGGGCACAAGGAGAAGGGGAGGACAGAGGACGAGATGGTTGGATAGTGTTCTCAAGCTACCAGCATGAGTTTGACCAAACTGCGGGAGGCAGTTGAAGACAGGAGTGCCTGGCGTGCTCTGGTCCATGGGGTCACGAAGAGTCGGACACGACTAAACGACTAAACAACAACAACAACAACAATCTCATTCCTCAAGTCTTTATAAAGAGTGCAGCCTGTTGGACACGCGCCACCGATTCCAAGGAGCTGACAGTGCCCACAGACATGGTTCTCCCCCTCCCCACTCAGTCCTCACAACAGCCCTGCGAGGTAGGTTGAGGCGGAGAGGCAGTGCCTGGAAGAGCCACCCAGCCACCCTCGAGGTCCCCACGCGCGATCGCGCGCTCTCGTGGGCAGGGAGGGAGGGAGCTTCCCGCGGCGGCAGGCAGCCTTCCTTCTCCTCCTCCTCCTTTGGGGCCGCCCCTCTCCGCGGCCAGGCGGCCAGTGGGGAGGCAGCTCGGCCGGCTGGGCTCGGCTCGGCCCGGTTCCATTGGCCGCTGGCTCCGCGGCGCCGTGCGCTCTGCAGCGCGCTTTGGAGAGGAGGCGCGGCCTGCGCTGGCCCGGGACTCTTCCTCGATCCCCGTCCTTCCTGCTCCTGCCCTTGGCGCCCCGGGGCAGCCGGCCATGGGATCGCCGGCCGAGGAGCCTCCGCTGCCGGCGCCGGACCTTTACCGCGACACGTGGGTGCGCTACCTGGGTGAGTGGCTGCAGGGCGATCGCCGCGCCGCGCGCCTCCTCGCCAGTCCCAGCCTCCGTTAAGGGCGCGAAATTTACTCTCGAGGAAGCCCGCAGGCGGCGGAAGAGCGCTTTCCTCGCTGGGACTGCGTTCAACAAGAAGTTGGCGGACGGGACGGGGGGGGGTGGAAATCGGGCGGCGGAGACTGATCGGAGTAAAAGGCAAGGAACGCTGTTCTCAGGCTTGGGCAGCGGAGGTTGCCAACTGCTTTTCTGCCAGGGCTCCTGTGCCTTCAAGCTCTTGCGCCTTCTTAGGCACAGGAGTTCCATCGAGGAAAGAAGTTGGCAACTCTCGTCCCAATTTACCGCCATTAAGCGCCGTTAGTGCTATACCTTTCGGTGAAATAATGTTAATAATAGATGTTTAGCTTTCAGGGCACAATCATGCCCTGAAAGGTAGAGTATACATGGGCACTGATGGTGTGTTTTTAGGTAAAGAACTCAGCACCTGGGAGATCTGGGTTCAAGTTCCCCATTGAGCCATGAAGCACACTGGGTGACCTTGAGGATCTGTCAAATACCTTTTAATCCAACCTACCTCACAGAGCTGTTGTGTGGATTAAATGAGGAGGGTGAGAAGCAAGTCTGTCACTTTGAGCTTATTGGAGAAAAAAAAAGTGGGATAGAAATGCAATAAAATGGCATACTGTCACCTCCCTGAAGGTACTTCCAGCAGGGCAGTTTTGTACTGGTCAGAAGTACAGTGGTACCTCGGGTTACATACGCTTCAGGTTACAGACTCCGCTAACCCAGAAATAGTGCTTCAGGTTAAGAACTTTGCTTCAGCATGAGAACAGAAATCGTGCTCCGGCGGCGCAGCGGTAGCAGGAGGCCCCATTAGCTAAAGTAGTGCTTCAGGTTAAGAACCGTTTCAGGTTAAGAACGGACCTCCGGAACAAATTAAGTACTTAACCCAAGGTACCATTGTAAGTCCTTTTTAATTCAGTGGGTCTTACTCCCAAGGAAGTGGGGCTAGGACTGTGGCTTTAGTTTGGAGCAACAACAACGAGAAAACCCAACAAGCAGTCTTGTGGCACCTTTTTTTGAAGACGTTTATTATGGCGTTAGCTTAGGGTCCACACTCAAGTCTACAAGAGCTTCTGCAAGCCTTAAGCCTCCCTGCTGATGAGAATACTGCTGATGAGAATACTTTCAACACAAAAGATACACAAGGGACAATTGCTCTCATAGATACCAGGCATGAGATAGTGGGCATCTCCAAGACTATGACTGGCAGGTGAGGAGGCCTTGTCTGGCTGGCATATACGCATGGTAGGGTCTTTCGAGTGGCAGTTTTCTGTCTGATGAATGAATGCCCTCCCTGGTTAGGCACATCTGCCCCTCTCGTTATTGACTTCCGAGAGGAATTTGGAAACATCCGAGTATACATCCAGGCATTTGATGGCGACCCTGAAATCACTGCTTGAGAGAATATTTTAAACTCTTTATATGCTGGTTTTTATTGATGTATTTTCCACCATGGGCTCCTTCACCAGGAGGAAGGATGTGATATTAATTGAATGAATAAATAAATAAATGTGTTGTGGAGTCCAAGGATGTTATATATATATATATATATATATATATATATATATATATATATGGAACAGGGACAATAAATTCCCAACACAAATAAGCGTTTGGGTACAAACGTCATGATCTGAAGTCAAAATGATGCATTACATGCAGCTGAGTATAACTTTCCAGATATACTCCTTATAGCTATATATATCTATTGTACATCTGCTATATATTTTGATAAGTTGTTTCTCATGGAAATGCAAACAAAATTCAGTTTCTCCTTCCTTCCTACTTGCTGTCTCCAGTGGGCAAGTGGGCGCTGCAAAGGGGAAGAGGCTTCTTAACTTTCTTGACAGCTTCTCTGTTAAAATCTGTCACTGTCCTTTCAAATTGTTTTTCCTCTTGTTGAGGACAGCCATTTTAAATAGATAACAACAACAACAAAACAACAACAACAACAACGTGAGGAAAGAATTAAGGATCCCCTTGGTTTTCTGTGTTGTTCTGTATCATTGCTACATAAATGACGTTATCTTCAAAGGAAAAGTATTTTAATTTATTTCGTGCATTTATATCCCCCCCCTTTTTCCCCCTCCAAGGAGCTCAAGGTGAGATATATGGTTCACTCTCTTCCCATTTTCATCCTCACAACAGTCTTGCGAGGTAGGTTACCTTGAGAGATTATGACTGGTCCAAAATCAACCTTCAAGGCCAAGTGGAGATTTGAACCCTGGTCTGGCACTCTAACCACTACACATACTGACTCTTTTTTAAAAAAAGAAAGAAGATGATTTGCAGCAGCTCCTACTGGTTTGCTGCTGGGGGACCATGGCTTCTGTGACTATATTTTGGTGTCCTTGTCTTTAAAGATGACTGCGGGACAAAACTTTGCACAACCAAATGTCATGTGTGTAACTCTTGACTTTGTGGCCAGAGCAACTAGTTTGCATGCCAAAAGCCCTTGCTTAAATCTCCCCAAATCCGGCTGGGAAAACTGCTGCCAGTCAGTGTAGACAGTACAGTGGTACCTTGACTCTCAAACTTAATCCGTTCCGGAAGTCTGTTCCAAAACCAAAGCGTTTCAAAATCAATAGAAAGTAATGCAAAATGGATTAATCCGTTCCAGCCTTTTTTAAAACAACCCCTAAAACAGCAATTTAACATGAATTTTACTATCTAACGAGACCATTGATCCATAAAATGAAAGCAATAAACGATGTACTGTACTGCAGTCATACAACCAATCAATCAGTAGCTGAACTGGGTTCCACAGAGCCACAAAAACAAAACAAAAAAGAGCCGCAAAAGCAAAAACGCTAAATAGCAAAAACAGACAGACCTCAGCGTAACGCTCAAAACGGAAGTGTGGCACTCAAATTGGAAGCGCAACACTCAAAACGGAGCACGTTCGGCTTCCAAAAAAAGTTCGCAAACCATAACACTTACTTCCGGGTTTGCAGTGTTTGGGTTCCAAGTTGTTTGAGTAGCAAGGTGTTTGAAAAGCAAGTTACCACTGTACTGAGCTCGATGTGTTCTGACTTTATACAAGGCAGTTTCCTGTGTTGACAGTCTTGGACAGCTATTGAAGACACAGCTCAAAAATGTCAGGACCGGGGGGGGGGGAACTGGGCAGGGTGATGGTGATGTGGCAGCTTCAAGGATGAAATGTCAGCTTCCGTTCAGTGATATTTGAGAAGCAGGGATCCCTCGTGCAAAGTGTCGTTTGCCAGGACGTTTCTGCCGTGTTGGGTGGCAGGCAGCTCCTAGGGTGACTTTCTCTGGACCTTGGAAAAGGACTTTGCTAGGGCATCAGGAAGAGGAGACTGTGGGGACTGTATCCTCTGAAGAGTGTCAAACAGCACAAAATGGCTGCATCGCTGCCCCTCTTTGCAGCGCAGCGAAATTTAATCCCGTAGGAACAGCTGCGGCAGTCAGGCACGCGGGAGCGAAACGGACGGTGGAGGTTATTGCCAGCAAAGAAAGTTAATGCAGTTGTTATTCTGTTGTCTTTCTGGTGGTGCTTGCAAGGTCAAGCACCCCCTTTATCTTACTTTCACAACAACCGTGTGTGGCAGGTTAGACTGAAGGAAATATTGGATAAATAATAATGTTGTCGTTTAGTCGTGTCCGACTCTTTGTGACCCCATGGACCTGAGCACGCCAGGCACTCCTATCTTCCACAGCCTCCCGCAGTTTGGTCAAACTCATGCTGGTAGCTTCGAGAACACTGTCCAACCATCTTGTCCTCTGTCGTCCCCTTCTCCTTGTGCCCTCCATCTTTCCCAACATCAGGGTCTTTTCCAGGGAGTCTTCTCTTCTCATGAGGTGGCCAAAGTATTGGAGTCTCAGCTTCAGGATCTGTCCTTCCAGTGAGCACTCAGGGCTGATTTCCTTAAGAATGGATAGGTTTAATCTACTTGCAGTTAAATAATAATAATATAATAATAATTTATTATTTATACCCCGCCCATCTGGCTAAGTTTCCCCAGCCACTCTGGGCGGCTCCCAATCAAGTGTTAAAAACAATACAGCATTAAATACTGTATTATAAACTTCCCTAAACAGGGCTGCCTTCAGATGTCTTTTAAAGATAAGATAGCTGCTTATTTCCTTTACATCTGAAGGGAGGGCATTCCACAGGGTGGGAGCCCCTACCAAGAAGGCCCTCTGCCTGGATAAAATTTGGAGGATAAAATTTTGGCGTGACCTTGTTGAGTTCCTTGGAAGGAAGAAGTGTGGTGTAGTGGTTAGAGTGCTGGACTAGCACTTGAAAAACAAGGGTTCAAATCCCCACCATGAGGCCTCATGGGTGACCTTGGCTCAGTCACCAACTCTCAGCCAAGCCTACCTCACAGGGGTGTTCTGTGGGTAAAATAGGGAGAAGGAGAAGTGTGTTGAGTTCCTTTGGAGAAAAGATGGGATATAAATCAATAGTTAATGTAATATATGAACTGGGTGGGTTGGGTTCATCCCATCCAACTGTTTTTAGGATACGTTCATCATATACCAGTCTTGGTGTTGGTTGGTCCCCCAAACCGTAACCCAGTTCACTGCAATCCACTGAAGCTTAAACTAAAAAGAAGTGCTTAAATTCTGCTCCTATACACTTTCCGTAAACAGTACGCAGTTAAGATGTTTGTGCGCATTCTGTAACCTCACATACCTCAGGCAATGATGGGGATGTTTTCCACATTGAGGCACAATCCACTCCCCTCCCTTTCCATATTAATAAAAGATGCTGTGGCTTAGACTTAGTGGCGCTAAATGGATCTCATTCTTCAGATTTCAGTTTTATTGACAGGTGAATTAAAAATAGGGCTTTGGCAGGATGTTAGGCGACTCCCTGCTTGAAATTGAAAGTATGGACTTTTACAGCTGCAATCAGATGAATTGAGAACAAAAGAGAAAGAGCTCTCCAGAGTAACACCGAGTCAACAGAGCCATAAGACACAAAGGAGATTAGGAAGATTCAATATGGACATAAAATTCGATAAAGAAATACAGTGTTACCTCAGGTTACATACGCTTCAGATTACAGACTCCACTAACCCAGAAATAACACCTCGGGTTAAGAACTTTGCTTCAGGATGAGAACAGAAATCGCGCTCCGGTGGCGTGGCAGCAGCAGGAGGCCCCATTAGCTAAAGTGGTGATTCAGGTTAAGAACAGTTTCAGGTTAAGAACGGACCTCCGGAGCGAATTAAGTACGTAACCAGAGGTACCACTGTAAAGGAACAATTGATGGATATTAAAACCTCACACAGGAAGGAGAAAGAAGAACTCCACTTGCGAATTTACAAATTACTAAATGTGTCATAATAATTATACAGTGGTACCTCGGGTTAAGTACTTAATTCATTCCGGAGATCCATTCTTAACCTGAAACTGTTCTTAACCTGAAGCACCACTTTAGCTAATGGGGCTTCCTGCTGCTGCTGCGCCGCCGGAGCACGATTTCTGTTCTCATCCTGAAGCAAAGTTCTTAACCCGAGGTACTATTTCTGGGTTAGCGGAGTCTGTAACCTGAAGCGTCTGTAACCTGAAGCATATGTAACCCGAGGTACCACTGTATTGGACTTTTGTCCAATATTGGTATCGATATAATATGGTGTATATTGGACTTTTGTAACTGAAAATTAATAAAAATTATTCAACAACAAAAAATAGGTTTTTGGGGGCTGCCATCCATCTGGGTTTTCCCAGACATTTTAGCTGCTTTTCCAAAATTCTGCCCGGAGGCAATTTTCAGCGGTTGAATCCCGGCTATATGCAGGAAATCCCTAATTAAAATGAAAAAGCAGAGACAAAGCGAGAGAAGCAGGGAGTTTCTCCCCACCTCCACCCCCCGTGGCTGCGGACACATTAACTTTTGAAAGTAATGATAGCTGTTGGACTCTTCCTGCCTGTTGGGCGGAGCTTGAAGCTGTGGGAGGGGCTTTGGCACCCCTGCTGACCTTTGACCTTCGTTACAGGTTACGCCAACGAGGTCGGGGAGTCTTTCCGGGCCATCGTGCCCGTCTCGTTGGTCTGGGCCAGCTATGGAGTAGCAACTGCCTACGTGGCGGCCGACGCAATCGACAAGGGCAAGAAGGCGGCTGCTGTGAGTACAGAGTAGGCGACGAAACCATTTCTCAAGTCAAGGGCCACGTTCCCTTCTGGGGGCCGCATGCTGGTAGTGGAGCAAAGATTTTATATGCGCAGCTTGCAGATCTAACATATAGAATAAGAGAACAAAAACATCATATGTTTGAAGAAGATTGCAAAGTGTTAATTGAATATATGGAGGGAAATTGTGTTTATTTGAAACCGTGGGCAGCATTAAGATAAATTCAGCAGTGTAAATAAGTTTTGATGGCTGGGGAAACTCAGCCAGATGGGCGGTGTATAAATAATAAATTATTATCATTAAATTATTATTAATATTGGAATACTGAATGGTTTAGTTTATATAAAATATGCTGGGATTTATGTTAAGCAAAATGAACCATGGAAGAAGGGAAGTCATTGATATTTTATGGTTGTTTAAATGAATATTCCAAAATGTAAAACAGAAAATGTAATTAAAGTTACAGATTTCAGATAGGGTTGAATGTTGCCCCCGGGCCTGAGGTAAACACAGTTATGCTTTTAATGTTTCAAATGTTTCGCTGATAATTTAGTTCTTTTACTCTTTTTGCAAACTGCTTTGAGGTTTTCTTTTTAAACAGTCGAGAGGTGTATGGATTTTATGAAACAATAAATAAACAAAAAAAAGATTCACATACCGGTAATTTATATACCTCCTTTCATTTCAAGAAGAAGCAGTTAACAAGCACATGGATAAATTAGGTTTTAGGTGTTTTGTTTTGTTTTGAAATGACTTGTTTGGAAAAAGGGTAGGATGGGAAACCTGAAAGGGATGAAGGTCAGTTTCTTTTTCGGTTTTAAACGTTTTAAGTCCGCACCCCTTTCATCCTTCCTCCGACTGACAGGCGAAGGCCGTGGACGAAGGGAGGAGCAAGCATGCCGCAGTGGCGGTCGTGGACACATTTATATGGCAGGCTCTGGCTTCCGTGGCCATTCCTGGCTTCACCATTAACCGCATCTGCGCAGGGTCACTCTACCTCATGGCCAGCATGACGCACTGGCCTCTCTCGGTCAGGAAGTGGGCCACCACCGCCGTGGGACTCTCGGCCATTCCTTTCATCATCAAACCCATCGACAGGTACGGGCAACTTCCACCCCTTGAGCACAGCCAAGGATGAGCTGTATCAACCTTGAAGAAGCCCTGCTAGGTGCTGTGTACTTCAACCCTCATCAGCCCCAGCCACCAAGGCCATTTTGGTCTACAAATCCCATCAGCCCCAGCCACTGGGAGCCATTTTGAACTACAAATCCCATCAGCCTCAACCACTGGGAGCCATTTTGGACTACAAATCCCATCAGCCCCAGTCGCTGGGGCCATTTTGGCCTACAAATCCCATCAGCCCCAGCCACTGGGGGCCATTTTGGCCTACAAATCCCATCAGCACCAGCCACTGGGAACCATTTTGGTCTACAAATCCCATCAGCCCCAGCCACTGGGAACCATTTTGGACTACAAATCCCATCAGCCTCAACCACTGGGAGCCATTTTGGTCCACAAATCCCATCAGCCCCAGCCACTGGGAGCCATTTTGGACTACAAATCCCATCAGCCCCAGCCAGCAGATGCTAGGTTGGGAGTACAGGCCTGCCAGCTGGGGTTGAATGGAGTTGTAGCCCTAAACACCTGATTGGGAAAGGTTATTATTTGAGGTGGTGACCTTGAAAGGGCAACTTGCCTTCTAACAGTAGTGATTAAGACGGCCTCACATTTTAAACCTCACATCCATGCCATATATCTAAAGCACTATGATACCTCGTTAAACAGTCAGTTTCCCCCATAGAATCCTGGGAAATGTAGTTTGTGCTGAGAGTTGTGAGGCAGCCCCTGTTCCCCTCACGTTCAATTCGTAAGTTTACTGTTCTAGCCAAAGGCCATGACAAACTTGTATTAACAAAATAATACAGAGCACAGGTTCATAATATAAAAAAAGACTCACAGAGCTACAGTTCCCAGTGTTTCCTGAGAAGATGGATTGCCTGTTGAACCTCTCTGGGAATTGTAGCTCTGTGAGGGAAATATAGGGGTCTCCTGACAACTCTTGGCACCCCTAACATACTACAGGTCCCAGAAATCTTTTGAGGAAGCCGTGACTGTTTAAAGTGGCTTCCTAGTGCCATAAATGTGTTGTGTGAACATGACCAAAGTACTCTGACATAAGCATGGCTGAACAGCCGCCTTTTCAAACTAAGATCCCTTAGGGGAACAGAGCAATTATGTCAGAAATGGGTCTTTATTTAATCTCACACTGGGATACTGATTTTCAAAATAGGGTATCTCACCCCTGACCTCACTTTTCTCCTTTAAATTGTGTCTTGGCGTTCTCTTGTGTAAAGGTAAAAGGTAAAGGTACCCCTGCCCGTACGGGCCAGTCTTGACAGACTCTAGGGTTGTGCGCCCATCTCACTCTATAGGCCGGGGGCCAGCGCTGTCCGGAGACACTTCCGGGTCACGTGGCCAGCGTGACAAAGCTGCATCTGGCAAGCCAGCGCAGCACACGGAACGCCGTTTACCTTCCCGCCAGTAAGCGGTCCCTATTTATCTACTTGCACCCGAGGGTGCTTTCGAACTGCTAGGTTGGCAGGCGCTGGGACCAAGCAACGGGAGCGCACCCCGCCGCAGGGATTCGAACCGACGACCTTTCGATCGGCAAGCCCTAGGCGCTGAGGCTTTTACCCACAGCGCCACCCGCATCCCCTCTTGTGTAAAACGATGTGAATAAATTCAATCCCTAGGCAAGAATTCAGTCTGTCTATAAATAAACATTATGCCCAGAGAGAGTCAGCAACATTGTGTTCTCTTTGATTGATCGATGCAGAATGTCATGCCCTAAGGTCCTATTCTCACTGGTTTTTTAAAGTAAGTGGCATCCCCTACTGCCAGACCCAAGGAAACACATCTTCACTAAGAGACTGATTCTGCTGTTACTTCCCAAAGTAGCCACCCATCGCTTCTTTGCAGACTCTGTTTGCCTACCTTAGATTTCCGTTTCATTCCTGCTCAGCTTCTAATCCTTATTCAGACATGCATTCTCGTCACATGATAACAGTCACATTGGGAGAGGCAGGAAGGGTGCTCTCAATTTGGGGTTTGGTCCAGATTTTCTACGAGAGCATCAAAAAACAACACATGTGCCCCAAAACCCCTGGAGGAATTTCTTGCCTCCATGTAAATGCCAGGCAAATACAAATACAGTGGTACCTTGGTTTTCTAATGTACCCATATTTTTCCGTGTATAAGACTAGGTTTTTTCCCCTTAAAAAATAATGTCAAAAATTAGGGGGCGTCTTATACTCTGGGCCATCTCCCCCCCCCATTTTCTTAATTCTGAGTCCCCCAAAATAGGGGTCATCTCATAGACTGAAAAATATGGTAATCCGTTCCGGAAGACGAAACATTTGAAAACTGAAAACTCAAAACGGAAGCCTCAGTACGGAAAACTTAAAACAGAAAACTCAATACGGAAGCTGTGTTTCATGTTTGACTTCTGAGGCACGTTTGAAAACCAAGGCACTTACTTCCTGGTTTACGGCGTTCAAAAACCGAAACGCTCGACAAAGGAGATGTTAGAAAACCGAGGTACCGCTGTAGGTTTTTTGTGGATCGCACTATTGCTTTACCTGTCTCTCTCTCGATTCCTCTGGTGCAGGTCAGTGGATTTCTTGATGGACTCCAGTCTCCGCAAACTCTACAAGACAGAAGAGTAAGAGGAAGTCCTCCTTCCCCTGGCCTACCAGAGCCTCCGATAGCAAAACCGGGCTGTCATCCACCCTCAAAGCCACTACCTCTTTCTCTCTGGTCTCCATGTTATCTAGACTTCTAAAATATTGAAATCCAGCTTAGTGGGACCTGTGCTGAACCAGTGCAGCTTGGTACTCTGGATCCAATGAGGATGGATCTTCTGGACAGCTCAGGATGTGTCCTAAAAGCCTACGTAGAGACTGGTCCATTTCCCATGCCAACAGAACTTGCATGTGGCCTTCTAGAAATCCTTTCACATCCTTGTTCAGGTCAATGCCACCCCAGATAAGGGGGGGGGCGCTGGGATGTACTTAAGCACAACCTGTTATTTTTTTAGGGTTCCTGGCAGCTGTTTCCCAGTAGCAATGTGGACTAGCCTGCTGACAGTTTATTTTGCACTCCCAGCTATGGGAGTGGTTAATTGCACTAACCGTTAACAACTTAAGTAGAGCCAGTTCTAAATGGCTCCCGTTACTGCTGCTCAGCTGAAAAAGGTTATTTGTAGTTCCTTCAATCTGGCTTAATGATAGTGACACTGTACACACTATGCGTTTAAAGAATGACACCCCTCAAAAATTTCTGGGTTTATAGTTCTGGGGTAAACTTCAAGAGATGGAATGGATTCCAAGGTTCATCCTAGTCCAGCCACCTGCATGGTGTGTACCCAAGCCAGTGAGAATTTTAGCATATAAATAAACGAAACAACTTTCCGTATCTGATTTCCTTTCTGGGTGGCTCACGCAGTTGCACCATTTATGAGCCCCTTCGGCGTTTACATGGCAGTGCTAGAGCTCCAATGCACTTCAGACTATCAGATGCCCTGTACAGCAGGGTGGTCCTTACTAGTTGCATAAGAGAGAACTCAGCTGTACTCCATTAACCTGCCTTACACAAAAATTAAAGTTTGGACTGATTCCTCTACCCACTTTTGCTTCTGGCCCCCATCGCCACTAGCATGTGGCCCCTGCAATGTTGCCAAGAAGCAAATGTGGCCCTCCGGCTGGGGTGGGGTGGAAAAGTTCCTTCAACCAAGGGGAGAAAGTTTGACTATGGCAGTAAAGCTACACAGCGATAAACGGAAAGCTTTCAACACACATTTTATTTTTGCTTTTAGGATTAGAGAGTTAGGCCTTCTCTGGCGTGTCGCTCTTGATCTTGCAGTAGTCAATGTTGGATTCCTTCTCCACCTCTTCGTCGACGGTCAGGTCCCCAAGGACCAGCTGGAGCTCCGTCTGGAATTGCTGCTCCTTTGCGGTTCTTCAGGGGTTTGCGGCCTTTGCTGGTGCGGGAGTAGCGGAGGACGGCTAGGCCTAGTGCTATCGTAGCCCCGCTGAAGAGGGCTGCCAGCACACAGCTGCCCCCAAAGGAGATGCTCACCAAGAGGAACGTCTTCATGGTGTGGCATCGTCCTGGAAGGGAAGAGACGTTTAGGGAGCCATTTTGCCTAAGTAAGATTCCCTCATTCAGTTGTAGGGGAACCTTCAGGCCCTCTGGCTGTTGTTGAACTACAACTCCCATCAGCCCTAGCAAGTGTGGCCAATGGGGTGATGGGAGTTGTAGATCAGCAAACATCTGGAGGACCACAGGTTCCTCACACCTGCCATAGATAGAGTAGCCTCTCATTACGTTTATATCCCACCTTCCCTGCAGAGGCCTCCAACCGGCATACATGGCCCTCCCTTCTCCTCATTTCCACACACCCCTCCCCAAATCCTGAGAGATAGATTAGGCCAAGACTCGATATTTGGGCCAACAATCACCCAGTGAGTTTTCCTGTCCAAGACAGGATTTGAACTCCAGTCCCCCAGATCCTAAATCTGCTCCACTAAGGTAAAAGTATAGCACCCCTGGATGGTTAAGTCCAGTCAAAGGTTACTATGGGGTTGTGGCACTCATCTTGCTTCAGGCTGAGGGAGCTGGCGTTTGTCCACAGACAGCTTTCTGGGTCATGTGGCCAGCAGGACTAAACCGCTTCTGGCCCAACGGAAACGCCGTTTACCTTCCCTATTTATTTACTTGCACTGCTAGGTTGGCAGAAGCTGGGAGAGAACGGGAGCTCACCCCGATGCGGGGATTTGAACCACCAACCTTCTGAATGGCAAGCCCAAGAGGCTCAGTGGTTAAACCACAGCGCCGCCCACATTCACTACACCACACTGGCTCTGATGGGCATCGGATGTTGTAGACAACAAACCCTAATAATAGTAACCATCTGTTGGATCAGGCCACTGACCCATCTAGTCGAACAGCCTGTTCTCATAGTGGCCAACCAGATGCCTGCAGAAAACCTGCAAGCGTTATTGGAGCGCAAAAGTCCTCTCCGCTCTGGCTTCCAGCAATTGGTATTCAGAAGCATTGCTGCCTCCAAAGTTTGAAGGCAGAGCACAGCTATTGTGGCTAGCAGCTATCTTCCCCGCAGATTTTGCCCACCACAATTTCAGGCCCCCAGATTGTCGGTGAAAACCCAGAATGTGGAATGCTCCCCCCACCCAGGGAGCTTCTGCTGGCACCTTCATTATGCACCTTTAGACACCAGGCAAAAATGTTCCTCTTCAACCAGGCCTTGGGCCAATTGACATCTGATGCCCTTTCAGATGTGCTGTGGAAGAGGGGGTGTTTGTTTTTTTGCCTTTGTTTTACTTTTTATTATGTATTTTTGTTTTGTTTTTTAGTATTGTGATTTTATGTTGTGAACCACCCTGAGATCCACAGGTATAGGGCAGTATACAAATGTAATAAAAATGCAATGCAATAAATAAAAACCCAGTAACTCACCCTCTGAAACTTAAGCAGCACTTAGCATATGCAGATTTTTGCCCTTTAAACATCTCAACCAGTGCTTCTGGGGCTGCCTATTTTGAGTGACTCTCCTGGAAGCTCTTGAGCACGATTTCCAGCCCCAGAAGAGACTAAGGTATTCAGAAACGAGAAACACAAAAACCAACCTTCAAACCAAGGTACATCTTCCTTGTGCACTCTCAGAGGGCCAACCACTTTCCTGTGGAGCTTTCCTTCACCCCAAAATGCTGTTTGGAAGACGGGATAAATAGTTTTAGAAGTAGGGAAGCTACGATTCCTGCAGGAACCCAACAACTGCTTATATACCAGCCTCCAGTGTCCTTCAAATGTTGGGACTCCCCTCCCAGTTCCAGCAGCCAGCATCACCAATGGTCAGTCCTAACACATCAGGATGGCACGCAGTTGTGGAAGGCTCATGTGCACAGCAATGGTGCTACAGCAATGTAGCACAGGATTAAATTCTATATTGCTACCTTATCCTAGATAGCTCAGCTGGTTAGCGTGTGGTGCTGATAACTCCAAGGTTGCAGGTTCGATCCCTGTATGAGACAGCTGCATATTCCTGCATTGCAGGGGGTTGGACTAGATGTTCCTTGGGGTCCCAACTCTACAATTCTATGCTCTACATGATCTATCCAAAAAGTGGAAAACGGCAGTAGTGGAAATGAGAACCCCATAAGAGCCTGCTGAATTAGGCCAATGGTCTAACCCAGTGTTTCCCAACCTTGTGCCTCCAGCTGTTTTTGAACTACAACTCCCATCATCCCTGACTAGCAAGACCAGTGGCAAGGGATGATGGGAATTGTAGTCCAAAAACAGCTGGAGGCACAAGGTTGGGAAACACTGGTCTAACCCAGTCCAGCATCCTGCTCTCACAGCAGCCAACCATATATACCTTTGGGAAACACAAGGCAGAATTAAGGCTTCCCTTAATATATGCAATTATTATCATGTTTTATTATTGGTTGAAGAACTTCACTGCCAAATTAAGAGAAGGGCAAGTTTCAAAGGGCAGCTGCGTTTCAGTTCAAGAATTTTTTTCTGGAAGGTGCTCACATTAAAATGCGATTTGAACTAGATTCCTAGTTGCCACAGATCAGTGTGAATGGTAAAAATTCACCACCCACCTCTTAGCTGGCTACTTGCGTTTCAATTATTGCTTTGGTTTACTAGACACAAAGGCTAGCTTACGGGTACCTTTCTCACTTCCAGGAGTGGGGGGCTCCAAAGGGCAGTAGCTGTTGCAGCACTTGCAGACATAATTCTTGGATGGTTCGTCTATGTTCTTCCAGCTAGAAGGGAACAAAATCACTACAAGTAATATGCAGCAACTGTTAAGGGAAGCTGTAACGTTGCACAAAACTTACCAAGGCAGTGTACAGTGGTACCTCGGGTTAATAACTTAATTCGTTCCGGAGGTCCGTTCTTAACCTGAAACTGTTCTTAACCTGAAGCACCACTTTAGCTAAGGGGGCCTCCTGATGCCGCCGTGCTGCTGCTGCTGCACTATTTCTATTCTCATCCTGAAGCAAAGTTCCTAACCCGAAGTACTATTTCTGGGTTAGCAGAGTCTAACCTGGAGCGTCTGTAACCCAACGTACCACTGTACAACCGTTTAAAACAATGCAACTTCATAGGAATTGTGCATCATGCAGTAAGTTAAGAAGATATAAGAAGTTCACCTTTGTATCCAGTTGTTAGTCCTACTCAGAGTAAACACATTGAAATTAATGGCCATGACCAATTTAGGTCCATTAATTTCAGTGGGACTTAAAAACCTAATTGGATTTGCAACCGATTGTCTCTTGTGTCAAATTCACCACGGCAAAGAAACAGCGGGTCTTCAAAACATCTGGCCAGACAAAATAAGTGCTTAAGGATGCGATCAACAGATTTTAAATAATATCGAATGTATTCTTGCTTTTGTTTGCAAGGTATTTAAATAATTTTAGTCTGGGGGTGGGGGGAGGTCAAGCAAGGATTTGCAATAAAAGGGGCTTAGAGCTGACCTGGAGGAGATGTTGTCAAAGTAACAAGCTTTCTTGCCAAAGCTTGAGGAGGTCTCTTTGCTCCATGCTGACAGGAGGCAATGAATATAGATCTAGAAAAGGAAGGAAGTTATTTTTTTTGCAGCAGATTCAAAACTGTCACAAATATTTTTTTGCTAATTACATCTACATCCCAGGAGCTCTTGGTGGTATTTGTGGTTCTTCCCATGTTGTGTTCACAACAACCCCATGAGGTAGGTCAGGCTGAGATTTAGCAAATGGCCCAAGGTCACCCAGTGGGTCCTAGTCTGACACGAACCACTACAACCACACTGGCCAATGAAAGTGTTTGGGTGTTTTATTCAGCTTGCATCGGGGCTTCCCTGCAGAGGCACCGACTCACACTGGCTCTATGAACAATTTTTAAGAATTAAGGGCTTCCCCAAAGAATCCTGGAGATGGCAGTCGGAGGGAGATTAGGCGAGAAAACCAGGAATTCTCTTAACAGAACGTCAGCGGCATCCCAGAACACAGACACTTACTCCAGAGAGATTCCTACCTCCTCCGAGTCGCCGGTTAGCAAGAAGGCAGGTATTGTGAACACCATTGCAGAGTCTTCTCTACGGAGCCACCTGACCTTGGGGCCGTCACCGTACAGGCACCTGGGAAGTTAACCGTGAAAGTGGGAAGAGTGTGAATTTGAGTGCCAGAATCATTTTTTAGGTATTGCGGGGTGGGTTTTTTTTCCCCTTTCAGTTTTGACCCAATTTTCCACACTGCCTCGGGGCTGAGCACAATCCAGTTTTGATGTTGCTGGATCAGATATCTGTGAAATGCGCTGTCAAAATATTGTTTTTTTTGTTTAATGATGAACTCATTTTAACACACTGCCCCATTTCTGCTTTAGTGGGGGTGGGTGGAAGGCAACCACATTGAAACACCTTTGTTGTTGGTATATTATATTATTATTATTATTATTATTATTATTATTATTATTACTACTGTATTTTAATATTTTGTTGGAAGCCACCCGGAGGAGAAGGACTGTTGTTGTTGTTGTTGTTGTTCCCTGTCCATCTGACTGGGTTGCTCCAGCCACTCTGGGCAGCTTCTGACATATGTAAAACCATAATAAAACATTAAAAGACTTTCCTATACAGGGCTGCCTTCAGATGTCTTCTTAAAGGTTGTATAGCAACTGATCTCCTTGACATCTGACGGGAAGGCATTCCACAGGGTGGGTGCCACTACCAAGAAGGCCCTCTCCATCTTTTAACAGAACGGCACACCACTCACCCATGTTTATCTGCAAATATGTAGACCCTCCTGAAATGGCCGTGGTGTCGGGCATCTGTGCCGTAGCACTCATCGACGTAGAGCTTGGGGGACAGGCCTGGACTTGCCTGGACTCTGGCCTCAAAGTGGATCAAGGCACCTTCGACATACTCCCCAGGTTCAGCAGCAACACTGTGGTCTTCTGGGAGAGAAGTTGGAAATTGTGTGCGGTGCAGACTAGCCTATGTTACATCCTGCCACACAGATAGCATCTTACACCTGCCTTCCTCAACCTGCTGCTCTCTAGACCAGTGTTTCCCAAACTTTGGTCTCTAGCTCTTTTTGGACTACAACTCCCATCATCCCTAGCTAGCAAGACCAGTGGTCAGGGATTATGGGAATTGTAGTCTGGAAACCCAACTTTGCACAGGTGGGCAGGCGGCTGAGCCCATCCCCACTTTACTCTGGTGGAGATAGGGTCGCTCCAGCAATGTCAGTGGCGAGGGTGCTCTGGCGCTCCCCTACCCGGCACATGTGCATCCTCCTCCCAGCATACATGTGCACGCAACCCCCGGGCACCAGCAACCAACGCTATGCCACTGGCAGAGCCTATCAATGGCTACTAGCCACAATGGTATCAGCCACGTGTGGATCCAGAATTGGCCTTCACAGTTACTTATGGGCTCATTGTTAAAACCGTGTTTATGGAAGACAATCTTACTCGGCTACGAGTGATTGCCAAAGAGAAGAAGAAGAAGCCCTCCAGAGGCTGGCACTAGTCCTGATCGCTAGGCATTCCAGCCGAGACTGATGGGAACTGTAGTCCAGTAACCTCTGGAAGGCACCAGACTGGCTTAGACCAATGTTTCCCGCCTTCCAAGTGCCCTGCTTGCAGTTGAGCATTAAGCTTCTGGTACCAAGAAGGATGTTCGAATCCCCAGGGTGACAGGGTGAGTTCCCGTTGCTCAGTCCCAGCTCCTGCCAACCTAGCAGTTCAAAAGCACGTCAAAGTACAAGTAGATAAATAGGGACCGCTCTGGCGGGAAGGTAAACAGTGTTTCAGTGCGCTGCTGTGGTTCGCCAGAAGCGGCTTAGTCATGCTGGCCACATGACCCGGAAGCTGTACGCTGGCTCCCTCAGCCAATAAAGCGAGATGAGTGCCACAACCCCAGAGTCGGTCACGACTGGACCTAATGGTCAGGGGTCCCTTTACCTTTTACCAAGAAGGATAATCTTTTACTATGGCACAACTGAATCCTAAAATCAAGGTACTAAGGGAAGCAACCATTGACTCTTGTGGGTGGGAGAGTCATCTTACCCATATCTGTCAACTTTCAGATTTGAAAATAAGGGATCAGCAGCCTCACCTGTCCCAGGGACAGTCTACGGGATATCTAACAATCCGGGATAGCAGCGGGAAGCAGTGGGAAACAGTGATGGAATAAGGGAATTTCCCACAAAAAAAGGGAAGGTTGACAGCTATGATCTTACCATTCAACACTCTCAGAGAGATATTAATCTTTGCATCACTGGCCTGAGCAGCTTGCAGAAGCTGGACGTGAGGCTCTGCGCTGGATGCCGTGGAGTGAGGAAGCGCTGGCAAAGTGGTTGCCGTGGGCTCTGTGGTTTCAGCATTGCTGCTCCACACTAGACCCTTTGCAGCTGGAGATAGAGAGGGAGAGAAAGAGACATTAGCTGGGCTAACTCCCCATGGGCATCTCCCATCACAAATTTTAGCCTGAAACTAAAGCCAATATGCCTTTGTTGCCAGGATTCCTGCACTGATCCTGATGCTCCCTCAAATATTTGTGACTAGGAGTGGATGGAACTGTCCATTTAGGTTTCTCTCAAGCTCTTAGTTTTTCCAATTGAAAGTTCCATTTTCCACATTTATACAGTTTACATTAAAAAACCCAAAGGGTTATCACGAGAATCTACCAGCATTTTAGTGAGAGTTTCTCCTAACATGCCCATTTTTATATGCAATTTTGTTTAATAATTTTAAGCAAGGTCCCCTAATGCGATGCATTTTTAAAACATTAGTCTCACTAATATATGCACATTTCCATGCTTCCTTTACCCTAGCCTATGCAGTTTTACTCACGTTACTTGGCTAGCAAACCGCATCGAAAAATTCACTAAAGTCTGAATTTCAAAAGATGGCTGTGCTTTGGACAGTTCAAATCAGATAAAATTGCCTTTAAATGTGAGCTGAATTTAATTTCTTTTCCATCTCTAGTAGAGATATCCAGTTTCCATATTCAGAAAACCCTCTTCTTCCCAGAGTGGTTTGGCAAGCAATCCCTCTTCACGGGGAACTCTGGGAATTGTAGTTCTGGTAAGGGAATAGGGGTCTCTTCTAATAATTTCCAGCATGCTTAAACTACAGTTCCCATGATTCTCTGGGGGAAGCCAGGACTGTTTAAAGTGGCAGGATCGTGCAAATGTTGGAGCCTATGTTTGGTCCCTTAATTTCAGTGGGTCTGCCCAACATCCCCTTTCTGTACATTAAACAAGTCACCTCACCATGAAATACCCTATTGAAGAATCCCAGCTCTGCAGTTGTCACTTGAGGAGTGTTAGAACCCACTGTGGCTGGAGAAGCCAAGCCTTCTCCTTGGGCCAAAACTGGGATGACTGGGGAATAAAGGAACAGAATACCCGATCAGGATTTTTAAGAACTTGACCCTCAACCCACTGCACACTCTTGGACTGCAAACACATTCGGGTCAAATCTATTTTGCAGAGAAGTTTGTCAAAATACAGTACAGTGGTACCTCGGGTTAAGAACTTAATTCGTTCTAGAGGTCTGTTCTTAACCTGAAACTGTTCTTAACCTGAAGCACCACTTTAGCTAATGGGGCCTCCTGCTGCCGCCACTGCACAATTTTTGTTCTCATCCTGAAGCAAAGTTCTTAACCCGAGGTAATATTTCTGGGTTAGTGGAGTCTGTAACCTGAAGCGTATGTAACCTGAAGTGTATGTAACCCAAAGTACCACTGTATTTCATAAGAAACGGCAGGATGAGAACCTCAGGATTGGTACAGGATAACTTGATCTGGAAATGCATAGCCAAAGAATTGGACTCTAGCAGGCTGTGTGCACCAAATAGCTTAATGCCATCTCTATTAATCTAACCTTGCTCAGAAGGTATTTGGGCAGTAACGAAGCCTTACTTTCATTCACAGCTGAGAACATAAAGAGAGTCCACCTGCTGGATGAGGCCAATGGCCCATTAAAGCACAGCATCCTGTTCTCACAGTGGTCAAACCAGAGACACAAAGGGAAGCCCCCAACAGCAGGATCCAAGCGCAAGAGCACTCTCCCCACCTGTGGCTTCTAGCAGCTGATGTTCAGAAGCATTACTGAGCATAAGGAAGATCCCCAGCACGCCCTCTGGAACATACCCTCCAACTTTCTTTGATGAAAATAGGGACATGCCATTCCATAATGATAATTTTACTAATTAAACTGCACACATCTGACTGGATTGCCCCAGCCATTCTGGGCAGCTTCCAACATATATAAAAACACCATAAAACAGAAAACGTTAAAAAAGTGGGACATTCCAGGATCAAATCAGAAACCAGGATGGCTTCTCTAAATCAGAGACATACCGGTACCTGGAAAATAGGGATACTTGGAGGGTCTGCCAGAAACTTACCCAACACTTCAATAAACACAGCCGCCCACCAGAAGCCAGTCATCATTGTCCTGAAGAAAGACAAAGAAGGAAAGAAAGGGGGGGGTACACAAATTCTTTCTTAAATAGGCTGAGAGAGAAAATTAAACACACCTGGGCCTTCCTTAATTGTTCCAAGTCTCCTGTTGGCCAGCAACCCTAATTTGGTACCTGAGAGGGATTTACTTCTGAGTAAACTGGTTTGGGTATACTCACATAGCATGCCTAAATTTTCAGTGGGTTCCTGATTCCAAAGCATGGGCGCTATATATCCAATACAATACTTACAGCCTGCGCTGGTGTAGTAGTTAAAGTGTCAGACTAGGACCTGGGAGACCAGGGTTCGAATCCCCACTCAGCTATGAGGCTCCCTGAGTGGCCTAGCTCCAGTCGCTGCCTCTCAGCCTAGCCCAGGCATAGGCAAACTCCGGCCCTCCAGATGTTTGGGACTACAATTCCCATCATCCCTGACCACTGGTCCTGTTAGCTGGGGGTGATGGGAATTGTAGCCCCAAACATCTGGAGGGTCGGAGTTTGCCTATGCCTGGCCTACCTCAGAGGGTTGTTGTGGGGGGATTAAATGGGGAGGGGCAGAACCATATACGCCACCTGGAGCTTCTTGGAGAAAAGGGTTGAATATAAATGCAATCAATCAATCAATCAATCAATCAATCAGTAAACTAAGTTCTACCTAGTGGAATGAATGGATCCAAGTTTGCCATGTTCACTAATGTCAATGAGTCTGAGAGTATGACTAATATTTAGGGAAGCTTTTAATGTTTAATAGGTTATTGCATTTTAATATTCTGTTGGAAGCCACCCAGAGTGACTGGAGAAACCCAGCCAGATGGGCGGGGTATAAATAATAAATTATTATTATTATTATTATTATTATTAGTAGTAGTAGTAGTAGTAGTACAGTGGTACCTTGGGTTACATACGCTTCAGGTTACAGACTCCGCTAACCCAGAAATAGTGCTTCAGGTTAATAACTTTGCTTCAGGATGAGAACAGAAATCGTGCTCCGGCGGCGCAGCAGCAGCAGGAGGCTCCATTAGCTACAGTGGTGCTTCAGGTTAAGAACAGTTTCAGGTTAAGAACTGACCTCCGGAACAAATTAAATACTTAACCTGAGGTACCACTGTAGTAGTAGTACAGCCCAACATTCTTCATGGGAGAATGACAAGGCGACAGTGCTGTGCATCATTTCTCGAGTCGTCCCATTGAGAACTCACTTGGGACTGACAGATCAGCAGGCAGCCCTAAGTAATTCAGCTTGCTCCACTGCCGCCCCGCTGAATCACAGGGCACTTCCAGGTAACCCATTCATTCCTCCTGACTCGTTTGCAGGGAGGCAAGATGCCATTGGGTCAAAAGGAAGTGTTTCCTCCACACTGTTTCTTGGCACTTCCTCCATCACTAGGGATGGAGGGCAGATTTAATAGGCATTTCAAGGCAAATCCACCCCATTTGAACTCTCTGAAACCATGCAACAATCCCTTGTCAACCACAGCTGCAGAACCTGAATCTGTCGTTATGTGATTGTATCCACCCGGAAATAAAGCCTGGAAGTAGCCACAGGCGGTGCTTTCCTGGAATGCGTCCCTTCCTAATATATGGCTGTCCCCATTTTGTCCTGGGTGTTGGTGTCAGGAGTTGCTAGGCCTCATTTTCCAGGGTCCCAAGGAAAACCACCCCTAAGTTGTGGAACCCCCACAGAAGCAGGTGTTGCACCATGCCTGCATAGCTCCCTTGTACACTGAAGGTAAAAGGGATGCAGGTGGTGTTGTGGGTTAAACCACAGAGCCTAGGACTTGCCGATCAGAAGGTCAGCGGTTCGAATCCTACAACGGGGTGAGCTCCCGTGGTTTGGTCCCTGCTCCTGCCAACCTAGCAGTTTGAAAGCATGTCAAAGTGCAAGTAGATAAATAGGTACCACTCCAGCGGGAAGGTAAACGGCATTTCCGTGCACTGCTGTGGTTCGCCAGAAGCAGCTTAGTCATGCTGGCCACATGACCCGGAAGCTGTACGCTGGCTCCCTCGGCCAATAAAGCGAGATGAGCGCCGCAACCCCAGAGTCAGTCACGACTGGACCTAATGGTCAGGGGTCCCTTTACCTTACGCTGAAGGTGCACCTCTTTTTACCCTGACCTTTTTTACACCTGAGGTATACATTTGAGGACCCACCCTATTCTTTTTCTTCTAGCTTGTTTTAACTGATTTTAAGGTTGCATGTTTAATGTTGCTGTAATAACCCACTCTGGGTCCTTATGGCGAAGGAAGGGTAAAAAAATCTAATATATTATGGTGGTTTTGGGAAGGGGATCAGTCTGGATGAAGCTCCAAACCCCAATTTTTGGTGTCCAGTACCCAGTGAAGGCTAGAATCTAGCAGAGGAAATTCCTGAACTAGTCAGACACATTTTTTTAAAAAAAAATGTTTTTATTTGATTTTACAAATGTAAATTTATAACAATACCAAATATTTATCTGTATATATTTCTCTGAATCTCAAGACTTCCCCCCATCCCCTCCATGGGTCCTATTGTCAATATTTTCAACTGCAAATTACAGTCATACCTCGGGTTGAATGCGCTTCAGGTTGAGCGCGTTCGAGTTGCACTCCGCGGCTTCTGGGTTTCGCCGCTTGCGCATGCGCAGACGCTCAAAATGGCATCATGCACACACACAGAAGCGGCAAAAAGCGACGTGTGCATGCACAGACATGCTGTCGCTAGTTACGTTTGCTTCTAGATGCGAACGGGGCACCGGAACGGATCCCATTCGTATCTAGAGGTACCACTGTATTTCATAATCTCTATTTTATACCTGTCCATAGTGTTTGTTACATTACAAGTGAAATTAAAATCCTGCCAATGTTTTCGTCTGCTTGCAGCGGTCTCCTAAATTATAATCCCCCCCCCATTCTTTCTTGAAGTTTTTGTCTTCTTGGTTCTTGAGCTTTCGGGTCAGTTTTGCCATTTCGGCGTAGTTTAACAGCTTAGTTTGCCATTCCTCTCTGGTAGGGACTCTTCCTTCCTTCCATCTCTGGACTAGTAGCATCCGTGCTGCTGTTGTCACATACAAAAAAAGTCTTTTCTGCTCCTTTGGGATGGCAGTACCTTAGACACATTTCTTTGTAAGGCAATGACTTTATTGGTTGGCACCCGTCTGTCTCTGGAGACAATGGAAGAGTGTGCAAGTTAAGTACCTCCATCAACATCCCAAAAGAATGAGCCAGGTTACAGAAGCTAAAACCAAGTGATGGGGCCCTCCAGGCAAATGGATGGGCCTTCACATCCCTAAGACAACAAAAGCCAGAGGATTGTATATGAGCTGAGCTGGAAGCAGGCTGGGAGTTGGAGGCCCAGAGACACGCTTGCTCTGTGCTGGATACAAAGCTGAGACTAATGGAGAAGAAAGTTATTTCGGGGTGTTAATGCTGCAAGCCCCTCCATCTTATGCTCAAGTTGCATATATGTGTAAACAAAACCGTACAGTCAGACCGCAGGTTGAAGTTGCTTCAGGTTGAGCGTTTTCGGGTTGCACTCCGTGGCAACCCGGAAGTAAACGGAACGCATTACTTCCGGGTTTCGCTGCTCGCGCATATGCTCAAAATGACGTCACGCGCATGCGCAGAAGCGGCAAATTGCGATCCACACACATGCAGGCGTGGGTTGCGTTAGCTTCAGGATGCGAACAGGGTTCCGGAACAGATCCTGTACGTTTCCAGAGACAATATAGTCTCCACTGACCTTCATTCAAAGGAAACCAAACCCTGGGAAATTCCTGGAACCCCTAGATCAGGGGTCGGTAAGGTTTACCTCGCCTGGACCGGTTCACTCCAGCGGAGATCCCTCTGTGGGCCAGATTGTGCCCACACCAGTGATTTCCGATGTCTGCGTCAGCGCAGACGCGATCTCCAGTGCCGCAGAAGCATGTGGGGATTTGCCAAGTGGGCGGCTCGGTTCGGGGGCCAGTTAAACGACCCCCATGGGCCGCTTGTGGCCCATGGGCCTTAGGTTGCTGACCCCTGCCCTAGATTCTCCGACTGCTCAGAGATTGGGATAAAGATAATGAAGAAATAAATACCTTGTCTCTGATGTACATGTGCAAATGTTTACTGCCACATGCATGAGTCTCAGGCTTATGTATAGGTGCCAACACCTAGGGAGTCTTCAGCCCCCCCCCATAAAATATTTGAGAGGGCTGCCCCCCAAAGTCAATGGGCATTGCCATTCCAATGGTGTGTAAGATGTATTAGCAACATTAAGTAACACCTACCTGCATTATATATTTAATCAAATGCAAGTATTCATTATTTAAACTTTAAAAGATAATGTCTTTTGTAGTTTTTATCGGAGGGGAAAGGAAACGAAAGGGTCCAACGACTAGGTCTCTCCCGGTAAAATCTAATTCTCACATTTCTGCCCGCTAATTTCACAGTCCCCACCCAACCCAATATTAACCTTTCACTCGCCATTGCTTCTGATTTTTCAGTCATACTGAACTCTGTTTAGCTGCTCAGGTGCTGATGAGAGCCTTGGAAAAGTCAAGAAGTGAAATCGAGGAAGAATATCTGAAGTGTCAGCTGGATGAGGCCCAAGATATGGCAACCCTAGTGTTGACCCAGAACAACTGCTTCCCACTCTTAAATCACCATCTCTAGATCTTCTGGATTAGAGAAGGGCTCTAAAACCATCATAGGCTCATTGCTTCCACATTGACAAGTTTTTTTAAAAGCGCTGGGTACATTAAGACACCACCGTCCTGCATTACTAAGCAAGGTTCATTTTTTTAATCAAGCATATTCTACACTGGCATTAATGCTGCCGCAGTTGTGCTCAGCATTCAACAGTGCCCGAGTCATCAGGTCCCCGACTTCCCTGTGGTGTAGACAGAGTCTCTTCTGATAACCGTTGTAGAAGCAGAAGCCCAGAGACAGGACAGCCAGCACAGCCAGCTCCAGGAGAAGGGCACCCACAGCAGGCGGCATTACATTTTGTTTTCCACCTGCCAAGAGAGAGAGAGAGAGAGAGAGAGAGAGAGAGAATTTAGGAGTCTGCTTAATATAGAGTCAGAGAATTGGGTCCATGTAGCTCAGCACTTCCACTGACCGGCAGCAATGCTCCAGGGTTTCAGAGAGGGCATTTTTTATTTCCGTAATATTACCTAGAGATGCCAGGATTGAACCATTTGCAATAAAGGCAGGTGCTCTCCCACTGAGTTACAGCCCTTACCATCACCACCCCACCTAGCGTTTCTGGCATGCTTTCAGCTTTTCAAAAACACCCAATTTATCTAGTGGTAAATGGCTGCCAGTTCACTTCTGGGCCCAATTCAATTAACCTTCAGGTAAACTCGTCCCAAGCCATTGAGGGCTCTACACACTGTTCTAAGAATTTTAAGGTCTCCAATATAGAATAAATATTCAGAAATGCACACATATCTAAATATATGAACCATGTGTCTGAAATAGTATGGGAGAGCAATCCTGAAGCCATTTTGACTCTCCCAATGACCTCAGATATTCCTCTGCAGTAAGGGAGGCAAATGGGGAAAGCCTTCCCATTGTCTTTTCCCTTACCAATCCTGTCTTAAGGGCATATTTGTGTATGAAAAGAGTGAGCCTGTGACCTGGGACTCAGGAACCAAAGTATTAACCATCACAAAAGAATGGCCAGGCTGCCCAGGTAATGCAATCAGTGACTATTATCAGGTATTCTGGCCGGCAGGATTTCTGCTGTGGACTGCCTCCTTCTGTGATGTATGTATGATGTTTTAGGGGGGTGGGGTCTTGGGCTACAAGGTGGGCAATTTCAAAAGTCTATATAAGGGCTTGTGCACCATTGTTCAGGGTTCCTCCTCTCTCCTGCATGTGGTGAGTGGGGACTCTGTTGCAACAGTTCCTTGAATAAAGATCAGGCTTACTAGCCGCTTTGCTTCTCAATATTTTCTGGTTGGCTTCTTACTTTCTCCTACCAATAGGGAACCCACTTAAGGACTCTATATGGGCTCTGGAATACCCCATAAAGGAAAGGGAGCAGTTTTTCTTATAACACAAACAGAGAGAGAGAGAAAGAAGGGAGAGGAGAGAGAGAGAGAGAGAGAGAGAGAGAGAGAGAGAGAGAGAGAGAGAGAGAGAGAGAGATAAGACCACCTTGGTTTGGGCCCAGTGCATATTGTTGGATGACTTACCTTACCTTTGCGACTCCTCCTGACAGAAAGAGAGCCGTTTGCACCCAGCTCTCCATGGTCTCCATTTTGAGCCAGTTTCTGAACTGTGAAACGAGTCACCACCCTGTCCGACTGCCGTGGACGGTCTTCCACAGACAGACCTGAAGAGAAGCGACGGATGCAGATTTTGGTACGACCAGTTCAATCGCTGCCCTGTCCGTTACCAGGGATGCGTTAAACAAACAAACAATTAAAAAGGTGTAGAGATACCTTCCAGATCTCTCTGGTGGCGAGACCCAGTCGCTCCACACGTCGAGTCACAGCAGCTGCACACAGAACTGGATGGATCATCTAGGAGCTCCCATCTGTGGAGAGAAGAAAAGCCGTCAACTTTTGAATTCAAGGGCTCCTTGACACTTGCTTTTGCGCCGCATTTATAGGCTCAGCTGTGGGCTTTCCAGGTCTGTGACTAAGCAGGTTCTTTTTATTCCACCACTTTCATCTGGGAAAACCTGCATTTTACTGGTGAATTGCCACAGGTTTTCTGCTGCTTGCTGTTTGCTCCAATTCAGCAGGGGGAAAAATGTGGGTTTTCCCAGAGAAAGCAATGGGACGAAAAATGAAGAAGAAAAAGAAAAGGACCTGGAAAGTCCAGAAAACATGGAGCAAAGGAAAGTGTGGATGAGGCTTGCAAAAGTCACAGACCTCACAGTATCCACACACACATGCTGGATTTATTCTTTCACCAGGCATTAGGATGATATGAAACTAATTTATTCTTGCTTACAGGTTCTGACTGCAAGCCTCATGTCTCTGGGAACTTCCTTTTGATGCAGCGTTTGCTTACATCAGGGGTTGGGAAACCCCAGGCCTCTGCCTGTCCCAGAGGCCATTCCCATCACTGGTCCTGATCCAGACCCTCTTAAAGGGGCTGGGCCCAACCGGAATGTGTTCCCGGAACTGTGATGCTGCCTCTTGCTTGCCTGGCATGGAGAGCAGGATCTGTGTGCAGAAACCTCTTTTGAATGACTTGGAATGACAGCATCCATTCCAAAAAGGAGTTGCTCCACCCACTTTTGCCTCTGGCCCCACCCACCACTTGCATCTCTCCCCACACCACACCCCACCCCTCAGAAGATTGCAGATGAAGGAATGAGGTCCCCCTGTCACTGGCTCATAGGGGATGATCTCCCAGCGAGGTACCAAATTGGGTTTCCACGGCAACTGCAGATTTTGCATTGAACCCTCCTTTCCTAGTACAGCAGGGCCTGACGAAGAGACCACTCTGCTCTAGAAACAGGCTCTTTACCGGGTTGTTATTTCGGAGCAAGTCATAGATGCCCATGGAACGTTTTTTAAATTTGAAATTGAAATTGAGGGCCTGCCCATTGTGTGTGTGCGCACACACACATAGTTCAACATCCCTGGAACGACATACCCTCCAACATTTCTCCGATGAAAATAGGGACATCCCATTCCATAATGATAATTTTACTGTTTATACCCCCACACATCTTACTGGGTTGCCCCAGGCAGTCTGGTAAGCCTCCAACATATATAAAAACATCATAAAACATTAAGGAAACTTCCCTATACAGGATTGCCTTGGGACAGCTCAGGGGGCGGATAACTCCATACCCTCCAGCATTTCTCCAATGAATATAGGGATATCCTAAGGGAAAGTGGGACATTCCGAGATCAAATCAGAAACCGGGACAGCTTCTCTAAATCAGGGACGTCCCTGGAAAATAGGGACACTTGGAAGGTCTGGAACGAGCCTCTTAGTATTGGTCTTACTCAACACTGACTAGCCAAAAGACTCACCACTCACAGATCCCTTCGGCAAAAACCTCTAACGAACAAGCATTCCCCACATTCCTTACTTGTTCGTATCTCTGTGAAACGAGCAGGCCTTCCTCATGTGGTCGGCGGGTACAGCTGGGTCCCAGACTAAAACACGGCAGTGAAGGTAAACCTGCAAGAGGAATGGATTGTGCTCCTGGTGCTATTGGGACAGTCATACATGACCATGCTTAACTATTATTTGTTGCTGCAGAGGAGGGCAACCAAGATGCTCAAGTGAGGCTTCCTCAGCCTCGGCCCTCCAGATGTTTTTGGCCTACAACTCCCATGACCCCTAGCTAGCAGGACCAGTGGTCAGGGATGATGGGAATTGTAGTCTCAAAACATCTGGAGGGCTGAGGTTGAGGAAGCCTGCTCAAGGGTCTGGAAATCAAGCCTTATGAGGAACAGCTGAAGGACCTGGGTGTGTCTAGCCTTGAAAAGAGGAAACTGAGAGGAGATATGATAGCCATCTTCAAATGTCTGAAGGGCTATCACATAGGGAACACTGAGATAGAGGAAGCTTGTTTTCTCCTGCTCTGGAGGGAAGGACTGGAACCAATGGCTTCAAGTTACAGGAAAGGAGATTCCAACTAAACATCAGGAAGAACTTTCTGGCAGCAAGAGCTGTTTGATGGTGGAACGGTCTCCCTCAGGAGGTTGTGGACTCTCCTTCATTTGCTGTTTTTAAGCAGAGGTTGGATGACCACCTGTCATGGATGCTTTAGCGGAGATTCCTGCATTGCAGGGGGTTAGAGTAGATGACTCTTGGGGTCCCTTCCACCTCTACAATTCTATGACTCTAACTGTTACACTGCTCACTTGTAAACTGCTTAGAAGTCATTTTAGCAAGTATAAAATAAATTATAAAATATCTACACATGCCTTCAACGCCACGCGTGCCTGCAAAAGTTTTGAAGAGGACATCCTTCTGTTCGTTACACTACAGCCCCTCCAAGCAACAATGTGGTAGGATTGGGTCCGAACACCACAGAACTAATAAAGTAGGATAAATCCACCACCTGCAGACCCCCTGCAATACAAGAACAGCCGAGAGCGGTCCCTGGCACCGCCCAAGTCCAGTACTGCTTGTGGCTTCCTCACAGGGATGTTGTATACTGCATAACCCAGGGGTCAGCAAACTTTTTCAGCAGGGGGCCGGTCCACTGTCCCTCAGACCTTGTCAGATCCTTGGCCAGACTATATTTTGGGGGGAAATATGAATGAATTCCTATGCCCCACAAATAACCCAGAGATGCATTTTAAATAAAAGCACACATTCTACTCATGTACAAACACACTGATTCCCTGACCGTCTGTGGACCGGATTTAGAAGGCAATTGGGCTGGATTTGGCCCCTGGGCCTTAGTTTGCCTACCCATGGCATAACCCCTTATTTTGAAGGGTGCTTCCATGCAGTACCAGTGAGACCCTCAAACACAGGTGCAAGCTGAGAGTCTCCTTGCACAAGCATTACCAAAAGTGGCCTATTGCATGTTGAATGCAAGACGTTCCGGGTTCAGTCCCCACCATCAGGTTTATTAACTGCAAACACCAAAATTTGGGACCCCCTCCAAACCTGTCTAAGTTTCACAGTCACTTTGCGGCATTTTGCAGTGATAAGTCCGAGTTTTGCAGAACCCCACAAATGGAGTAATTGATACAAACATGGGGTTCGTAGTTAACACCCCAAAAATAATATTAAAATTATTATTATTTATACCCCGCCCATCTGGCTAGGTTTCCTCAACCACTCTGGGCGGCTCCCAACAGAACACTAAAAACCGAATAAAACTTCAAACATTAAAAACTTCCCTAAACAGGGCTGCCTTCAGATGTCTTCTAAAAGTCAGATAGTTCTTTATTTCCTTGACATCTGATGGGAGGGCGTCCACAGGGCGGGCGCCACCACCGAGAAGGCGCTCTGCCTGGTTCCCTGTAACCTCACTTCTTGCAGGAAGGGAACTGCCAGAAGGCCCTAGGAGCTGGACCTCAGTGTCTGGGCTGAACAATGGGGGTGGAGATACTCCTTCAGGTATACTGGGCTGAGGCCGTTTAGGGCTTGAAAGGTCAGCACCAACACTTTGAACTGTGCTCGGAAATGTACTAGGAGCCAATACATATGCTGACCAAATCCCTTCAAACCAGTGCTGAAGTCTTGCAATATTTTTGCAGCGTTTTGCAGTGAAAACTCCCATGTTTTGGAGTGCCCCACAAACTGGGTAACAGCTACTCAAACCTAGGGTCATCATAGCTATCCACATCTCCAAATAAGAGCTGGGAATGCCGGGTGCTCAAAACTCTGAAGAGTCACTGCCAGTCAGCTTAATGAGCCAACGGCATTACTGGCGCAAGGCCTATTAAGAGTTCCGTTACTTACATCAGTATCTATCTCAACGAATTCAAAGGCTTGCAGAGAAAGATGGAGCACTTCCGGAGTCTGTCTAGGGAGGAACCGGGAATTTGCAACCCTGCTGTCAACAAGGCACCTGCCCAAACCCCAACAAGAAATATATGTTTTAAAAAGCACATCTCATTCGGAGGACAAAATGCATCCAAAGTTTTTTTAGCAGCTGCTACACAATTGTCTCTCGATGCAAAATTCCAGGTGACACTGGCAGCTTTTTGAACAAAAAATAACCTGGCACTTAAGTTTATTATGGATTGATGGCATTAATATCCCATCTTTTCTCCAGTGATAGCAGGCGGAGGCCCCCCCCCCACTCCATTTCATCCTCACAACATCCCTGTGAGGTAGTTTAAGCTGTGAGTGAGCGACTGGCCAGAGTCGTCCGTGACTGGACCTAATGGTCAGGGGTACCTTTACCTATTGGACAGCTTGGTAAGGCTGTTCCCCTTCCATCCACAGAACTCAAAAAACCCCAGTACAGACTCACCCATGGTTTGCAATGACAACGTAACTCTGGGGCGATGTGCTCAGGTCTGGAGTTGTGGCAGCCACACACTCGTCCACAAAAACCTGCAAAGGCTGGTGGAAGGAACGCTGTACAGCAAACTGAATGTGGATCTGAGAGCCCAGGGGGAAGACGCTGGAGGATGAGGGAGCGCTGAAGTCCGCTGCAAAGACAGAAGAGGCAGCACTTTTAGGAGCAACGAGGGTAAACAGTTTCCTGCATTCTCTTGGGGGAACCCTCTGAGGGTGGGCACATGCCAGGGGTGGGCAGAGCAAGGTGGAACAAAGGGCAAGACTCTTTCTACAGCTGGCTATATTTCCCCAGATGCAACTCAGAGAGTGGCATTCAACTGCTCATGAGCAGACCCACTGGAATTAATGGACATTACGAAGGCCCAATCTGCACAATGCATTTATAGCACTCTTATTACACGTCCTACAGGACCGCCTCTCCTGGTATGTCCCACGGAGGACCTTACAGTCTTCAAACAAAAACATCTTGGAGGTCCCGGGCCACAGAAAGGTTAGGCTGGCATCAACCAGAGCCACGGCTTTTTCGGCTGTGGCTCCAATCTGGTGGAACGCTCTGCACAAGAGACTAGGGCCCTGCGGGACTTGACATCTTTCCGCAGGGCCTGCAAGACAGAGCTGTTCCACCAGGCCTTTGGCCAGGGCACAGCCTGACCCCTCCTTTGGTAATCCTCACAGAACTCTAGCCCAATGGTTGCCATTAATTTGATTTGAACTGATTTTATAATGAATTGGTTTTACAATGCTGTATTATTTTACTGTTGTTAGCCGCTCTGAGCCTGGCTTTGGCTGGGGAGGGTGGGATATAAATAAAATATTATTTTTTATTATTTTTATTATTTATTATTATTATTATTATTTTTATTACTTTTATTATTATTGCATTTAGGCAGAGACTGGCCCAGGGTCACCCAGTGAGACTCACGGCCAAGTAAGCATTCACAGCCTGGTCTCTCAGGTCCTGGTCAGGCACTCTAACCAGACTCCAACATTGCACCACACCGACTCTTCACTTTAAAAGGCAATGGTTTCCTCCAGAGAATCTTGGGAGCTGTAGTTTGTTAAAGGTGCCAAGCATAATTTGAAGACTCCTGTTTCCCTCCCAGAGCTACAATTCTCAGGCTTGTTGAACAATCATCTTCTCTTCCCAGGGAACTCTTGGAAACTGCAGTTCGGGGAGGGAAATGAAGGTCCTTCTTAACAACTCTCAGCATGCTGAACTACAGTTCCCTGAACTCTCTGGAAGAAGCCACAGCTGTTTAAAATGGTACGATACTGATCTAAATGTATATAATACAGAGGGGATCTAAGTTAGGTCTGTTAATTTCAGTGTGCCTGCTCCAAGTAAAGTTTAACCAGATGCCTCCCAGAGAGTATTATACTTCTCCATCCAGCAACCAGGCAGAATTATCACAGTTCGATCACACATGCCACTGGAATTAGGAGGCTGCGCCTATCATTGGCTCCACCTATCAATGCATCTAGCTCCGCCTACTGTGAGCCTCCCCACCCCCACCCCACCCAGCTGGATCCTGTTGCCTACCATTCATTAAAGTGCCGGTGAACATTAGCCCACTGGAAGCAGAAAGATGGCCGGTGACCGTTATCACTTGTGGAGGAGGAGTCGTCAAGCGCCCTGCGCTGGAAGAGAAGAGAGTCAGTCTCTCCTTGCGAGTGTTACAGCGAGCCACCTCACTGTGGACTAGGGGAGTGAAGCGACGAGATGGCGCTGTGCATTCACCACTTGGAAGTTTCAAGTCGCAACGGAACTGGGCTTATTTTCATTATGGGAGCCTTACAATTCACTTGCATATTTTAATTAAACATTAGGAAGAACTTTCTGAGGTTAAGAACTGTTCAAACAGTGGACTGGAACTACAGTGGTACCTTGGGTTACAGACACTTCAGGTTACAAACTCCGCTAACCCAGAAATATTACCTCGGGTTAAGTACTTTGCTTCAGGATGAGAACAGAAATCGTGCAGCGGCAGCAGGAGGCCCCATTATCTAAAGTGGTGCTTCAGGTTAAGAACAGTTTCAGGTTAAGAACGGACCTCCGGAACGAATTAAGTTCTTAACCTGAGGTACCACTGTACCTCAGAAGCTGGTGGACTCTCTTGGAGGTTTTAAAACAGAGGCAGGATGGCCTTCTGTCAGGGATTCTTTAGCTGTGATTCCTGCATTGCAGGGGACCCTTACAACTCTTACCATTCTGAGAAATGTTCCAAATATGCCCCAAGTCACCCTTCCCCAACCTGGTGCCCTCCAATCCCAGCTAACTGTGTATAAGATAGCAGCCTCAAGTCACTGAGGTCCAGCTCCAAGGGCCTTCTGGCAGTTCCCTCCCTGCAAGGTTACAGGGAACCAGGCAGAAGGCCTTCTTGGTGGTGGCGCCCGCCCTGTGGAACGCCCTCCCATCAGATGTCAAGGAGATAAACAGCTATATGACATTTAGAAGACATCCCTGTTAAGGGAAGTTTTTAATGACTGATGTTTTAATGTATTTTTAATCTTTGGTTGGAAGCCGCCCAGAGTGGCTTGGGCAGGTAGAAATAATATATTTATTATTATTAATTATTATTATTATTAATTTGTCCCCCCTCCTGCTCCAAGGAAGTAACCCACATGCTTTTAAGAACTACTATATGAGAATTAAAAAATAATAATATCTATTTGCTGTCTTAAGAATGCTGCGTTTCACCAACGGGAAACTTTCCTGGTGGCTTTTGCAGATATCAGACTGTATATCCTTAGTAGATTTCTGCTGCAAAAGAAAAAAAGAATTTACAGGAACTTTTCTCCCGCAGCTGAACTCCTAACAGAGACGTGTTTGGATTCACAACTTCAGCTCCACTTGTGACATCCATCCTCTTCACCCCAAATTGCCTTTCCCATGTCCACACATGCAGTGCTTACTCATATTCGGTACAGTTAATCCTCTCCATGAAAGGGCTCCTGCTGTAGAGATCGGACCGGGTGGATGGCGGCCTGTAGACCAGGCTACTAGAATATTCTACCATTGCGCCACAGATCTGCAAGAATAAAAAACTGAGACGTTAGCATCCAGATAATGGATGCTCAGCCAAAGCCCACATTCACACCACACGTTGAAAGCAGCATCATACTACTTTAAGCAATAGTGGCTTCCTGTAAAAATTCTGGGAGCTGTAGTTCATGAAGGGTGCCAGGAGTTGCTAAGAGACCCCACCTCCCCCCAAATTCCCCTCTCAGAGCTACAACAGCTAGAATGGCTTAACGCTCAACCTCTCTTCCCAGGGAACTCTGGGAAATGTAGTTCTGCGAGGGGGAATAGGGGGTCTCTTCACAACTCCCAGCACCCTTAATAAACTACAGCTCCCAAAATTCTTTAGGGGAAGCCCAACAGTAAGGCAAAGGTAAAGGGACCCCTGACTGTTAGGTCCAGTCGTGACTGACTCTGGGGTTGCGGCGCTCATCTCGCTTTATTGGCCAAGGGAGCCAGCGTACAGCTTCCGGGTCATGTGGCCAGCATGACTAAGCTGCTTCTGGCGATACTAATTAAAGTAGAAATTTATGCTTAAATGTATGGTATGAAAGAGAAGTCAGTTGTCGAAATTTCTGACTTTGCATCTAGATATATAAATTTATTTTAACGCAGCCCATTTTGTATTTTTGATTTTTAGCTTTGCAATTCTTTTAAACTGTTTAATATGGTTTATTGTATTGCAAATCAATGCCTCATGGAAAGTAATTCAAAGATGAAATAAATGATAATTCCCTGTTTAGGAAAGTTTGTAATGTTTGATGTCTTATCGTGTTTTTAATATTCCACTGGGAGCTGCCCAGAGTGGCTGGGGAAACCCAGCCAGATGGGTGTGGTACAAATAATAAATTATTATTAATTATTATTATTGTTGTTCTTAATTCAGCATATGCAAAGTTTATTATTCAAATGTTTGCCCTTTGAGCCCCCCCCCCCATTTCCTCTTTTTGGCAATGCATAGACGACAGGCTTTTACTATACAAGTAATATACCCACCTTGAAATGGGAGCCCGCTTCAGTTCTTGAGACACAGAGAAGCTTCAGGGCACTTCTCTCCAAACCTCAATGAGGAACTGTCCTGCAGTTCACTCAATGGAGGCTGGTCCATTAGGACAAAGGGGGCATTGCCCCACCAACCTCAGTCTGTCCTCAGCCAGCTCCCACCTGCCTGCCTTCTTACTCACAGCTAGTCCCAGAGGCTAACTTGGAGTTCCCCTTCCGCCTCCTTATTCTCAGTGTTACCTTTTTAGAATTCACAGGGAAAAAGAGGAGGAGGAGCACAAAACAAAAAATTGTTAACTCATTCTGACATTGGCTTTGGCGCCACCAATCCCCGCGATGGGATGAGTTCCCGTTGCTCGGTCCCTGCTTCTGCCAACCTTGCAGTTCGAAAGCACGTCAAAGTGCAAGTAGATAAATAGGTACCGCTCCAGCGGGAAGGTAAACGGCATTTCCATGTGCTGCTCTGGTTCGCCAGAAGCAGCTTAGTCATGCTGGCCACATGACCCGGAAGCTGTACGCTGGCTCCCTTGGCCAATAAAGCGAGATGAGCGCCGCTACCCCAGAGTCGGTCACGACTGGACCTAACAGTCAGGGGTCCCTTTACCTTTGCCTTACTTTTGGGCTCCCTACCTTCCGCCCTACGAGCAACATTCTTCAGCCGCCTCCTGAGTGACCGGCAAGTCACCACAGCAGCCTGCAAAATCCTGGCCCCTCAGAAACTCACCAGCCGTGCAAAGCCACATTCCTTAAAGTGGTACTGGAAGTGGAAGAAGCCCTGCCGGTTGTCCTCAAAGGAAGGGGAGCAGCGGCCGAGGTGCAGATATTGTGGTTCCAGCCTGAGACCTGTGTCCCAAGGGTCCATCTTGACCACTAGATGGATGTTGGTCCTGTTGCATTTATAGGGCATGGAAGGTGCAGGTACTGCGGTGGGAGGGAGAAGAGTCAGAGCAGACAGATACATAAAAGGCTTGTAATCACATGCAGGTTGTAGGAAGGAGCTGGGCCTCTACCCCGCTACTCTTTTCCCCCAATTTTTTTTATTGATTTTCCAAAACAAACAAACAAACAAACAAAAATCTCAACTGTATTTAAACCAATCTTAGTAACATTGTTAAGTGACTTCCTCAAATCCCCCTAGTTGAATTTCAGTGTATTATCATTTTAACAGTTTTCCAAAACCAATTTTCTCATAAAATTAACTTAATCACTTACCATCTTTCTATTCTAACTTTAAACAGATTAATCTCTAACATTACATATTTAAATCCTAAGCCTATCTGGTATTTGCAAGCTTTTCCAATTAAATTATCTTAACATATTTAGCTGAATAGTCTTTGAATTTCACTCTACGCCGCTACTCTTAACCACAGTTCCCTGTTGCATCAGTGCTAACCACAGGGAAGGCTGATGAGATTCCTCCTCCTAATTGCTAGAAACAGCCTCAGACTCTGGTTTCAAGCCTTGGTTAAGAGAAGAGGCAAGGAACCTTTTTCAGAACGAGGGCCACATTCCCTCGTAGATACCCTTCTGGGGGCCACATGGCAGTGGTGGGCAAGTGTGGAGGCAAAAGTGAGCAGGCCAATGGATGCGGAGGTTAAAAAGGTAAAGGTACCCCTGCCCGTACGGGCCAGTCTTGACAGACTCTAGGGTTGTGCGCCCATCTCACTCAAGAGGCCGGGGGCCAGCGCTGTCCGGAGACACTTCCGGGTCACGTGGCCAGCGTGACATCGCTGCTCTGGCGAGCCAGAGCCGCACACGGAAACGCTGTTTACCTTCCCGCTAGTAAGCGGTCCCTATTTATCTACTTGCACCTGGGGGTGCTTTCGAACTGCTAGGTTGGCAGGCGCTGGGACTGAACAACGGGAGCGCACCCCGCCGCGGGGATTCGAACCGCCAACCTTTCGATCGGCAAGCCCTAGGCGCTGAGGCTTTTACCCACAGTGCCACCATGCAGAGGTTACCTTTGTGCAATAATTTAATTTCTACACACACTTGCATACCCGCCTCTGGGCGAGCAAGGGGCATTACTGGTGTTCAAGGACACATTCCAGTCGTGCAATAACCACTCAAGGAGGGTACAAAGCAGAGCCAGTGAAGGGGTGTGGCCTGGCGAGAGTTCCAAGGGCCAGATAGAGAGGCTTGGAGAGCCAGATCTGGCCCCCGAGTCTAAGGTTCCTCTCATCTGGTTAAGGCTGGCAGGAAAAATTTGAGCCAGAGAATTAACAAAGCACACAATCCCATAGGGCTCCTTATTTTGTAATATGCACCCCGCCCCCCAAAAATGTGGATGTTGCTTTTTAAATACAGTGGTACCTCAGGTTACATACGCTTCAGGTTACAGACTCTGCTAACCCAGAAATAGTGCTTCAGGTTAAGAACTTTGCTTCAGGATGAGAACAGAAATCGTGCAGCGGCGGCGGTGGGAGGCCCCATTAGCTAAAGTGGTGCTAAGAACGGGTTAAGAACAGTTTCAGGTGAAGTATGGACCTCTGGAATGAATTAAGTACTTAACCTGAGGTACCACTGTATTGGTTTATAGATTTTAGGTAAGCTGCCCTGTGTACTTTTGTAGATAGGGTATAAATGCAATAATAATGCCGTAACGATATTTTGAAATGCAGGAACAAAACAGGTCTAGATGCAAGGGTAGGAGAGGGGCAGTTCTGGGTTCAAGTGCCTTCTCAGCCCACATTGGCCACTGGAAGGCCTCAGCCCTATTGTTTTCAACATAAGCCTCCCTCAGAGGCTTGTAGAGGGCAGAGAGTAAGAAGAGATACCCATGGTCACCCCCCTCAAGCCTCAAAACCCACAGCAAAGGAGATGCAAGCCCAGCAGCCCTTCCCAATGCAAGGAGAGAAATGCAATTTGCAGGAGAAAAGATGATGCAACTTACCACTCTGAGCAGCAGCAGAAGCAACCACCAAACTCCAGGCAAATGCCACCAAGCTCCTCTTCTGCAACCGCATATTGACGCTCTCGGCTTCCAGTTCAGAAAGAAGGTAGACACCAGCCTTTCAGCTTACTCTGAAGCACCTGTTTATACCTGCTCCCACCTTCTGGGGGCGGCTTGAGCTACTTTCCCAGGGCACAGGTGCTGAGGATTCCTTTTGATCAGCCTCCCTCTCCATCAGGAAGGGAGCAACCTTCCCCAGAGGTAATCGCTGAAGACACTGGTGATAAAAGGGCATCTGAGCTCTTCTGTTGGCTGAGTGTTTGTGTGTTCCAAAAGCTGGATGCCACCCCCATCAAATGGTTAGTCTTAGTCTATGTGCACATTACAGGCTTAAAATGCAGCTAACTTTTCTCAATTCAGATTTAAGTGGGTTTGGGGAGGAATGCATCAAAATGTAGCACATTTCATTTAAAACAACAAAACACATCTAGGATTGGAGGGAGCACACCAGATGTAAAATGTTGTTTCCCCCTCCACAATCACTTTTCTTGTTGCAAACAGCCCATTTTGGGTAAAACAGGTTTGTTCTGTTAGAAAAGCACTGTTGAGTTTTATCACCATGTACCAGCTTTAATGGGTGGGCTGGGAACATGTATCTACCCAAAGGGGTGAGAGAGCTGGACTAGCAGTCCAGCTGCAACCTGTTAAAGGGGAGGATGACCCAATGGTTACAGCAATGGCATTATCTGTTTTATTTATTATTAACTTCCTTGTCCACTCTTCAGCATAAGGTCCCAATGTAATATATACAGTTATTACAAAAAGAGATAAAACTATTGCAATGATAAAAGCAAGTAAAACTGGGCAATATACTTTCAGCCCATACAGAGCTGTGCAGAATCACCAGCTTTTTCAACCAGCCACTGTAACTGTGTCTTTAACAATAGTCTGATAAGCAGATGTTAGCAGCTGATGACACTATCTCTGTGTGGGTCACCTAACAATATTCACAGCACAACAGCAGCATTAAAGGCACAGAGCATACTTCGTGCTCTCCCCCCCCCCACCTGGTCAGTTGGCAACTCTAGCAATGGTGAAAGGCTGGTTTGAATTTCTGGGTGGTGTACAAAACACCTCCGTAAGCTATCAGCTTGGAGAAGCTTCACTCCCAGATAGCTTATTGTGTTCTCAAGGAAAATTGAGGGGTTGTGTAGGTGCCAGAGGCCCAGACGTGGGGGCTAGCCGGAGAAGAGAGGGCGAGCCCCCTCCGCTCCGGCCCTAAATAGGGCAAGCCACGCCCCCCCAGCCAGCCGATTGGCTGGCTGGGAGGCGTGGACGATCGGGATTCCCCTGTTCTCGCGGGGGCTGAACCCAGCCCCCGCTCACGTGGGGAGGGCGTGATGCCCGCAACCCCACCTCCTGGGGCAAGCCCGGAAGTGGCTTTGCGTGGCGAGTTCCCGCCCCCCACCAAGATAAATAAACACACGAGACACCATAATTAAGGTTAATTGGGCGAATTAGGCCACAACTTTATTGAATTCAGGAATGAGAGGCATTGGCTTAGGCATTGGTCCTATCGACTATCCGGCTCCAGCCCATTTGCTGGAGACACGGGGAAGGGTTAACACTAATCGGGGGAGTCTCCCGCTGAGGCACGTCGGCTAAGAGCTCCCCCGGGTCACCGCTCTGGGGCGTGCCTTTGGCCCTCACCTCCATAGGCTTCGGACAGGGCCACGCCCCCCGGAGTCCTTTAACGGACCACCCTTCGTTCATTGGGGGGAGGTGATGGCGTTCCTCCCCCCCCACACATCCTCTTAACCCCATCTTACCAATGCCTACCGCCACCGAGCAGCCGCTCGCCGCCAATACTCTCATGCCTGAATCCACTCCATTAACCCCTTTGCAATATCCCCAAGCCAGACATCATTACCAGCATCCGAAAGATGCACGCCATCATACCGGTAGAGGGCCTCAAGGTTGAAACGAATGCCCGGGTGGCCAATCACCATCCCACCCAGGGCTGCCACTCTACGCACCACCGCCCGATCCAAGGCTTTCCTAGCCCTATTGATAGCTATCGGGCACCTGCAGTCTCTCCAAATCCGCCTCTCCATCAGTGAGGCCCAAATAATTGTGACATTCGGGTAAGCAGCCTTCAGCTCCTCGAAGTCGCTAAAAATGTGCCACTGCAGGTCAACTGCCTTCCTGTAGGCTAGGTCGTTTTCCCCCAATTGTATCAACAAAGCGTCTGGGGGGCCCTCCACTGCAGCTCTGGCCTTAACTGCGGGCAGCAACTCGGCCCAGCGCATTCCCCTCCGGGAGACCCAGGAAATGGTGACGTCAGGTAAGCCCAGGTGCGGCCCGAGACCGGTAGTGATGGCGCGGACCCTGGCCCAATGCACAATACTGTGCCCAATAATCCAGACGCGCACCCCCATATCACCTGTAGGAGATTGAAAAAACAAACCATGGTCAGTCACCGTCACAAATTCTTCCTCAAATAGCGTTTGTATGCGTCAGATTTCCAGCGCCCTAAGTCCCTAATCCTCTCAGTCGTAAGACCCAGGTGCATTGCAGTGGTGGCTGCTCCTATCCTGAAAGAATGTGAAGCAAAATCTGCTGCGGGGGTGCCGCATGCTGCCAGAGCTAGGCGCATGACCCGAGTGAACTGGTGACGCGTCAAAGGTAAACCATCTGCATGTATCAACAGAGGCCCTGCCGAGTTGACCCTCAGGGATAAGAAGCGCCTTGTGTCTTTAACTGGACATGGGCCAGGGCTACCGGTGGCCATAAGCTGAACAAGAGCCCCCCTCCCATACTGGTCAGTTTTAGAGCTGCGTATCCGTACTACCAGGTCCTCCCGTGACAGGGTAACATCACTTAGCAGCAAGCCCCGGGAGAAACCGTGCTGACCCGCTTCATAAACTAACTCACCCACACGCAGAGCTCCAAAAAAGGCAATGGAGTAAGCCGCTGAAAATAATCGTGCCTCATACTTTGACCAGCATACTGTTCGCAATTTTTTATGGATTTGGGAAAGGATGTCGAATGTTATCGGCCTCCTCATATCGTGGTTTGGGGGCTGTAGCCTGCGCCAACCCTCTAGCGTCCTTCGTATAACAAAATCGTCACAAGGATCAGTGGAAAATACCGTCTTGCAAAAGAATGAAATTGCCGCGGCTTGAAGGTTGAGGGTCCTAGGGGCGCGGCCCAAGCGTCTCAGGTAAACTAGGTAAGCTAGCACCTCGGATTTGACGGGAGGGGCACTGCTTCTGATGGTGCGGGTTTTGCTGCGGAATTTTAAAAAATCAGCCCAAGCCTTCTTATACGATCTCAAAGTGGAAGGTGCCACTGAGGCCATTACTCCCTGAATGACTTCCGGCTCCCAGGACTCTGGTCCCCATGCCTCTGGTCCCCGAGCCTCCACAGATGTTCCGGGAATGGCTGAGGCAGCAGCTCTGCATCCGGTGCTAATGAGCGGAAGCGGTCCATCTGAAAGCGAGATAAGGCGTCCGCAATGTCATTATTTACACCAGGCACAAATTTTGCTGAGAAGTGTATGTTGAGCTCTAAGCACCGGAGAACGAAAGAACGCAGGAGGCCGCCTACCCTTGGTGACCGTGCGACCTGCCTGGAAAGTACCGCCACTACGGCCTGGTTGTCTGTGTGGAAGCACACCCTATGGTTTCTAAAGGTTTCAGGCCACAAGTGCACCGCCACTACGATTGGAAATAATTCGAGGAAGGTTAAGTCTCTAGTAATGGGACCCCCTTGCCAGGCGGCGGGCCAACGCTGGGCACACCATTGGCCCCTAAAGTAAACACCAAATCCCAGAGAGCCGGAAGCATCCGAATGGACCTGGAAGTCAACCTGCAGCGACAGGTTGTCCTGCCACAGGGAAATACCGTTATAGTTCTGCAAAAACTCCAACCAGACTTCCAGGTCAGACTTCACTTCCTTGGATAGCCGAACCCTATGATGAGGGGAACGCAGTCCCGCTGACAACTTCGCGAGGCGGCCGCAGAATGGACGGCCAGGGGAAACCACGCGGCAAGCAAAATTTAAGTGTCCTAACAGTGACTGGATTTGCCTGAGTGTAACTTTTCTTAGGGGGAGCAGCTGCCGAATAAGGTCACCTAGCGCGATGAGTTTTTCCCTGGGAAGTTTTGAGGTCTGAGCGACAGTGTCCAGCTCAATACCTAAGTACACCATTGTCGTAGCCGGGCCCTCCGTTTTATCGGCGGCTAGCGGAACCCCCAGTTCCCCCGCTAATGATGTGAATGCTTCAAGGAGCTCTGAGCATTTAAGCCTGCTATCCGCCACGAGGATAAAGTCGTCCAGGTAGTGCGACACGCCCTCTGCCCCAGTTTTGAAGCGGAGCGCCCAGTCCAGGAAGGTGCTGAATGCCTCGAAGGCTGCGCAGGCCACAGAGCAGCCCATGGGCATTGCTTTGTCCACAAAATACGCCCCTTCAATTTGAAGCCAAGCCACCGGAAATCTTCCGGATGAACTGGCAGGAGTCTAAAAGGCCGACTCAAATGTCACATTTTGCCAGCAGCGCCCCCCTACCGAATTTGCGTATGAGCTTGTTACCGCTTGATCAAAAGTGGCATATCTCACTGTGCAGAGTTCCTGCGGTATCGCATCATTGACAGACCCGCCCTTTGGGTAAGAAAGGTTGTGAATCATGCGATACTCACCGGGCGCTTTTTTGGGGACTATGCCTAACGGGGATAAATGGAGGCCTTCAATTGGAGGGACTAGGAAGGGGCAGCTACCCTTCCTGCTTTGATCTCCTTACTAATTTTCTTTTGGGCAACCTCGGGCATCTCCCTCACAGATTTTTGTTTGGAGGATCTCCTGAATTGGGGGGAAAGGCTACTGGGATCCTAAAAACCGGTACTAAAGCCTTCCCATAAATACGCTGCTGCAGTCCTGTTGGGGTAATGGTCTAAAAGGTTTTTTAACGGGGTCAACTTGATGGGGGACCAGGCCAGTCCCAGACTGAGGTTACTGCCTGTTTCCCTGGGGTCCAAATGGCGCTCCGTGGCCACCTCTAGGTCCCTGGTTGTAGGCACCTCTCCCACCCGAAAGGGCTGCCCTCCCTTTAATGCAGGCAGTGGCTGGGTGGTTACCAAGACACTTATCGCACTCGTGGCTGTACTTACAGACAGCCCGTGCACAAACCCCTTGTTGTACTCCCAACACAGACGCCTCTGCTTCGCAGCGGTCTTCCAAGACTTCGACGACTCCTGGTGCTTCTTCTCAACGAAGGGACCCACGTGCTCTGACCAATAGTTTTGGTCCCTCAGATCCCAGCGCGTGGATGACAACAGTGACGCATTTCTGCGGAAGTCTTCATCATAATTAATGGCAGCAATGTCTCCCGCTAAATCCCGCGCCCTCCTAACATGAGCCTGGTACGCAATCAAGTGCATCGCCCGCTTTGGATAAGCCGCGCTGACGACACCCATGAACACCTGGAACCCATCCAGCCAGTTGTCAAAAGTACGTTCGGCTCTAGGTGTCCTGTACCTGCGTCTACCATACTGGCGCCTCTTCTCCCCTCTACCCGTAATCTTTGCTGGAGGTAGCAATCTGAATATATCTATATACTCTCCATGAGGATCTTATTCCTCTTTTCTGAGATAAATGAGAGGCCTACGATGAAATCCGTAGATAGATTAGTGGACGTTTTAACATCCTGAACTAAGGCGCCATTCTTCCACTCAAGGGTCCCATTAAAGGATTTTCTATAGGAATTGGCCCTTCTCTCATGCACCCATAAAGGAGACCCACACAATCCTCCCCGTGGCCCCAGTACTCCCTCCCTGGGAAGCATCGCTATCCGAATCGGAAGAAGAAGAGGTACCTGAATCATCCTCTGAATCCGAATGTCTACTCTTCTTACTCTTCTTTGAGGTGTGTTTTTTCTTCTCCTTCCTCTTCCTTGGCTGGCCCTCTGGTATGGCTTGATCCGGTACGGTGATCGCCTGTGCAACTTGCGGCCCCTGAGTTTTCCTCATCAGAAGAGGAACTTGAGGCAACCTCGGCTGGTGGCGCCTGCGGTGGCATGTTCTGGAAGAGACTCGGAACACCTGGATCTTTTTGTAGGTTAGTAGCCCCTGGACAATGGACGCACGCCTTACCCTTTTTTCCGCCCCTCTGGCCCCCTTTTGCCTTGCCAGGGGCAGCCGACTGTGCTCGGGTATTCCTTTTAGGCCGCGGTGTTGACTCCTTAGCTGCTCTCAGCGCTGCCACGGTGGCTGCAGATGTCCCGGGAAGTTGCACATCATTGGGTTGAGTCTCCGGGATGAAGTCCTGTGTGAATGCTCTCGGTAACTCTGGTGCGGGTACCGCCATCGCCGCCATTGGTGCCGCTGGCGGTGGCACAGGGGCCGGTGGCGCCCCTGCCACTGGTGCTGCTGGTACTGCAGCCACTTGTCCTGCAGCTCTGTGCCTATAAAAATCCTGGAAAGCAGTGAAAAACTCTGCCAAGGCCTGAGGGTTACTTGGGATTACAAAGGGTTGGGTATCCCCTGATTCTCCCCAGATGCGGTGGAGTTTACCTGGTTTCCCTGGCCAGACATGATGTGATCCAGACTCTTGCTTACCTTGATCAATGAACACTTAGCTCAGCTAACGTGCGTAGTTCAGTACTGTCTGCACTGGGCAACTTAAGGGTAGGAAATTAGTAAAGGCGATTAAGGTCGATATCGTGTGCACCAGTAACGCCCAACAGGGTTTAATTTAAAACTTAACCGGAGTGAAGATGCAAATACCAGTGGAGTAGACCGAAAAAATTAGTTGAACTCAATTTCAACAAGTTTATTTGTGGCTTATCTATTTTTTAATTGAAGGCAACAAATTGCTTAAGTATGTATTTATTTATGCCTCGAATTCAACCTAATTATTTACCAATTTCAATCCAAATTAAGTCTGGTTTAAGGCAAGAATCGGGAGCCGGCAGCAAGTTCCTTTGTGTTTACTGTAGTTGTTATTATTAAAATAATTCAAGGGGGGGTGCTGCAGGCAGGGAGCAGCGACTGCCCTTGCTTCTGATTCACCAAATGAATTTTATGCAATCACCAAGATAATATGAACTGATCTAAATGAAGCAATTTCCGTAATTAAATGGCCCCTACCTTATGCAGAACCTTAGTTTATGCAGCACCTATGCAATTAAAATCCCTAGCAATTAATTCGGTTATGCAATCAAGTCCTTGAGTCCTTTTGAAAATAAAACCAACCAGCCGAATTAATACACTCTTTAACTTGCTAATGAAATCCCTCTGCGCTAACTTAGAATCAAATTAGAATATTAATAAAAGAACGGAGGCGGCTTGCCTGAGTTGAATTAAACTATTGAATTATTATTTAAAGGAAATGAGGTGCCTTGTGAATGAAATGCTGGAAAAAACCAATAAGAACTGAAGAAAAACAATAATAATGATAATAGTATCTCACAACCAAGTACCTCAAATAAATTGTTTTCCCACTTCAAGCACTTTAATTAGTACTGTTGCTTCATTAAATTTTGTTTAAACGTGGTAGCCAAAGCAACCTAATTCCTGTTGATCAATAACCACAGACTGTTGGAAGCCTTGGCTACTTTGAATTAGCTATTACGCACGAAGGAGGCTTATTTCCCCACGTGTCGTGCCTCACCCAAAATGGCCGCCGCCAAAAGGGCCACGTGGTCACCCAAAATGGCGGCCGCAAAGCTATCCCGTTGCCTAGCAACGGCGCAGGTTCCCCCAGTTGTAGCCCTGAGCAGCGAGAGACAGCAACCCCAAAAGCAACCGCTCCCTAAGCGACAACAGGCAACGGACCCCCCCTTCCTAAGACCAGCAGCTAAGCCCCTAGCAAATTGAGGCAGATACAACCTGATCCAGCCGGTGAAAAAAAACCTTTCCCGGGAATCGCAACGGAGCCGGCGGTGGGGAAGTTGCAGAAATGAACACAGCAACAGACAAAGAACAGGCAAAGGACCCCGCTTCCACCGCAATTAAAGCCGATACAACCTGATCCGAAGAGATGGAGGAAATCGCAGGAGGGAGGCTGCTCTAGGAGGAATCAGCTGGCCGGCGGCTGCCGGAGCCCCGCAGCTAAGGGTTTGACTGAAGCGGGGACTGTAATCCACAAGGAAAACGGAGGAGTAGCTGCCGCACGTGGCCTGCAGACGCGACGGTTGTTCCTTCCTCCAGCTGCCGGAGACCTACGAGCATAAGCCCCCCCCAGAAACCCCCCAGCGATTTTAGCTCTTTTCGGCTTGCGGTGAAACGGAGCACGCAAAGCGGGCAGGGAGAAAAGAATTCCCTGATAGCGATTTCAGCTCAGGTAGTGATTTTCAGCCCGACAAAAGGTTGTGATTGCAGCGGAGCACAGGCCTCCACACGAATCACGCGGACAAGGAAGGAGAAGTGATTTCGGCTCAAATTGAATAATAGTAGCTGCAGATTCGCTCCTGCAAGGCTAGCGCTTGCTGTTCTGAACCTCCACGTGGCAGAAACAATGCTCCGACGATCAGCTGGTGGAAACGTGGGGCCAGCCGGGGAAGAGAGGGCGAGCCCCTCCGCCCTCGGCCATAAATAGGGCAAGCCACGCCCCCTCCAGCCAGCCGATTGGCTGGCCGGGAGGCGTGGCCGGGCGGGATTCCCTTGCTCTCGCGGGGGCTGAGACCAGCCCCCGCTCACGTGGGGAAGGGCGTGATGCCCGCAACCCCACCTCCTGGGGCAAGCCCGGAAGTGGCTTTGCTTCTTCAATTTCAGATGCTCTCCCACTGAGCAAGGATCATGGGTTAGTGAGAGTGATTGTACTTCCAAAACAGTATGGGAGACAGAATACAGGCAAATGTGATTAAAAACATGGATATTAATGAAAATAACTTACAAAAAATGCATTATATGAGGAGATGTCACTTGCAAAAATCAATAGATTATACAAAATGTGTATTCTATGAGCAATATAAACTAAAATAAACTAAAACCTTGAACATAAGGTTGGGAAAATGAGCTCTTTTTATGTTCATAAACTGCTATAGAGACACACTGGTGCACCTTATTTACTACTCAAGATGGACTGCCTAGTTGTCATGGACTACCCAAGGTGTCATACCTGAACACCCCACCTCCTGCAATGTGGTATTGATTGAAGAGAGGTGAAGAAACTCTTATTCTAGAAGGCTGACTGGAGCAAGCAGGCAGAGCTCACAGAATATGCCACCTGAAAGAGTTATATTTTACTGCTTCTATTTCCATACCTTACAAGACACTCATCAGAAGCCGAACAGTTCGTTTATTACCCTGCTGCCAGCATGCTCACATTAAAGCGATATGTCAGTTCTTTGCCCACCAGGTGCACTTAAGTGTTCCAGATTATTTATTTAAATAGGAGGTTGTGTTTTTTCCCCGGCAGGATGCTGATGCGGCCAGACTGCTTTCCTAGTTCCTAAATATGTTAAACTGCTCGTTTGATGAAACTACTCACACAGTGTTGGCACTTACATGGAAGTAATGCAGGCCCTTGCTTGCCGATTCCGAACCAAATATGATTCTTAACTATGCTGCGGAGAGGGCAACACTTTTATTTTCTTCAATTATGTTGAACTGACAGGCTCCATAGGTCGACAAAGTGTTTAAGATTGGTTAGCATTAGAAAGCCACAGGTGGAATAATAATAGTTATTTTTAACTTCAGAAGTTTACTCACTTATAATGAATACTTTTCTTAAATAAACAGTAACTTCTTTATTTCCTCCCTTAAAAACCCACACACTTTAAGCACCCTGTCATTTTCATAGCTAAAGGGAGATTTAGTGGACAGAATAACAGTGGGAGATCTTGGGGGTCTCAAATTTCAGCTGCACCCTGTGTGATGCCAACATTCTGTGGAACTTTTTTAAAAAAACAACTGAGGGACACACCCCAAAGTCAAATTTGACAGAGCAGATTTCCGTGGGCCAAGTGTCAGTGGTGAGTGAGGCCAGGGACAAAAGTGGCTATAACAACAGGGGGAAATGTTACCTTGCAATGGAGGAATCACATAGTTTATGTTCCATGTGAGAAACCAAGTGGAGTTTGAGAACAAAAACACAAAAGGGGAGCAGGAAGCAGGGATAGTGAGGGATGTGGCCCAGTAGAAAGGATGTGGCTGAGGAGGATGTAAGGATTCCTGAGGGATCTGTGAAAGTGAAAGGGAATATTCCTTTCAGAAGTGAAAACGGTACTCTGCAGTGCTCCTTTTCATTTATTTATTTATTTATTTATCTGAGCATTTCCAACACAGTTCGGACCCTCTTTTATCCATTTTAGCGAGTTTGCTGGGCGCCATACACCACCTACAAACCATCTTTAGTCTATTCTCGAATAGCAAGCTGAGAAATTTATCGTTTTATTCCATCGCTTTTCCCAAACTGAAATTTCAATGTTAGGTCCCATACTTGATGCCCAGGGTATCATTGCTGCCTTAACTAATTTGTTTTAAGCCTCCTATTTTAGAAGTATTCTGTATGTTCTAGAAATTAGTTTTGTTGTTGTTTTCCCCAGTATATTTTCTTCTAGAAAGCAGGACAGTCTGCTCTTGCAGCCTTCAGTTCTGGAGTTCCCACAAAATTGTCATCTTTGCCCACAAGAACTGAGATTCTTATTGTGTTTGTTGAGCAGGGGTATGATGAGAGCAGGGGCTGGTGCTGTCTCCTGGCCTGTGAATTTCAAAGGTGGCTATATATCAGTTTGCATATTGTTTCAGAGAGGTGCAAATGAAATAGACTCACCTTGAAATGTGAACTGTGTCAAATTTGTCCCCCATTCCTAGCAGGTCCCACTTGCACTCATGATATATAACTGCAAGTAAGCATAGTTAAGAGCTTTTTCACATTTCTCCATGCTTGTAATAAAGCATGACTTTATTCAAAACGGCACTAGTTAACTTGGGCAATAATTAGCAGTGTGTTTCTTTCAGAACAGGCTAAGTGCCAAGAAAGGGCAGTGTGTCCTTACCAGAGATTATTCCCTGCAGATGGGAGGAGGGGAAGAATGCAGCCTTTTAGCCAGCAAACAATGTTTATTTGGGATCAAAGCCTTCAGATTTAAAGAGTTTGAAATGACTATGCCAGCAGTGGTGCCGGAGTCTCTCTGCCAGATAGGGTGCTGCAGTGAGCACATCGAAGTTGAAATGGAGGAGAACAGTGTGACAAAAGAGTGGTGAAATCAATTTAACCTTGCTACAGCATAAGCTCTAGCTGGGAACGATAATTTGAACTTTGAAGGAAACAGAAACACCCCACTCCAATAGAATAATAGAATTGTAGAGTTGGAAAGTACACAAGGTTCATTTAGTCCAACCACCTGCAACGAAGGAATGAACATTTGGCCCATATGGAGATTGAACCCATGACCTTGGCATTATCAGCACCATGGTTTAACCCAGGCTTCTTCAACCTCAGCCCTCCAGATGTTTTGAGACTACAAT